AGACCATCCAGTCCCCTCCACCTCACAGCTTACATACCTTGCACTTTTCGCAAGGCAAAAGGCCCAGAACAAACCAAAGTGGCTGCTTCCACCTACTCACTACTGGTATAAAGCAAAAAGACCAGGATTCTCTCTATCTCTTCCTGGTGACAGACAAACCAACACTTGCTTATCCCGACTGGCCAGTGGACACCTGAAAAGCCTCACATTTTCTGCTAATCAAAAGATCTTTCCTCTTTGCCCTAAATGCCAACAAAACCAGGCATCTCCTGAGCACATCTTGAACTGTTTAGGGCTGGACTGGAACGACATTCATTCCTCTCCCATTCTGGTTTCGGACTTTCTTAATGTCAACGGATTTATTGATCTGGTCTGACCCCGTCAGACCAGATGAGAATTAGCAACAACAACAACATGTTAACTTGATTCTAACAAGAGGTACCTTTTGATAGATGAAGGTTGACATGGTCATTAATTAAATTCCCCACATTGGTGACCTGCGGACGTGATATGAACTTTTCATTGATGGATGATCCACATTAAAACAGTAGATTTGCTTAAAAAAATATACTGCCCAGAAAAAAAAGTACGGTGAAGTAAATAAAGTCCTCCCAGTTAATAAAAACAAAAAGAAATGAAGGGGAAAGAAGTAAGCAAAATGCTGGTAACAAAACAAAAGAAAGAGAAAAACGAAAATGAGCGAATGCTATAAACATTAAAAAAAAGAAAAGAAAAAATTATGAGCGAAATGCTATGAACAAAAAAAAAGAGCGAAATGCTATAAATGAAAAAAAAAATGAAGAAAATAATGAGCAATATATACATATAAAATAATAAAACAAAACAGCATGAATCAACTATCATTCATCGAGTTCTATCTCAGATAAAACAAGAGGTACCTTTTGATAGATGGAGGTTGACATAGTGCACGTATTCGGTTTGTAATTCCCACAATGCTTACTGATCGCTGCCAGTGATGCTTGAATTCAGTGTGATTATTTTAAAGATCCGATAAATTAAGTCCATATATGTGTCCATAATTTCTACAAACACGATTCTTCAATCCTAAAGCTCAGAAGATCGATACATTTTACTTATCGCGATATATCCAATCAAGTTAGTTCTTGCTAGCCTGTTCGAATTCGCATCTGCGAATTTGATTGATATGAATTTCGCAAATGCGTGCAGTGAGAATTGTCCTTGCCTTCATAATGCTTAGCAGTGTTCTCTAGTGGTAAACTTGTAAAACATTCTCTTGTGATTTTTCGTTCTACTTTTAGTTTTGACAAGTTTGGCATTATATTAGAGCTGTCTGCGAAAGTGAAAGCGTATAAATAATGGCAACGTCGGGGTTTTTAAGTTCCGATATCAACATGGAGCTGCATTATGGCGCGTTGTTTTAGTTACTTATTGTCATTTTTAAAACGTTGGTTAACGTGGTCTTGGACATATTTGTGGTTATTCTGGCTAATGCTTGTATTTTTTGTAATTTACTTACTACGCGGCCCTCTAAAAATCAGCGAAAACATAAACATGGGTATGACAGATCAAGACATATGAATTAATTTAATAAATTTTTTTAAACGATCGTCTGATTAAATCATATTTCCTCAGACGAAATAATAAAAAGTGTTTAAAATCATTAATTGTTGTCTAATGACCGCACTACTAAGCATAAAACATGGACATATCTACTATCAAAGAATTCACTATTATAATATGTTTATATACATCATCTTCCTAATATAAACTATTAGTACAATTGGTATATTTCTGGAATTTTTTTACAGAAGTATATCTATACATTTATATGTTTAGTGAAGGATATATTTTTGAAAGTTTAAATTTAGGAAGAAAAATCAATTCTTAGATTGTACTTTTTAGAGCTGTGTTTACATCAAATATGAATATCATTCAGATTTATATATTTATTACGAATGTTTATTTTTGAGACCATCATTTTTAAAGCTGGTTTTATTACATATGGACCTTTTTGTTAATTATCTGATTATTTATAAATAAAATACATCTAATGAACAATTCTTTTCCTCATTAATTTACTAATTGGTTAATTATTCATTTCGGTTCTAAAGCTGTTTGAAAATACCTTTTCATTATCATAAGGATGGGGATATTTCCGTATCATGATCTGTCATGCCAACTACATTCGCCAAGGTGCCAAATAGAAACGTGCAATTTAAAAGAAAAAAAAAACATGTAGATGTTTGCCTGCTGAGGGTGGCTTGGAGTTATACCCTTTGAGTTGGTCCTTTTCTCTGATGTTAAGTTTCTTGACGGCCGCCTAAAAGTTGCTAAGACTTGTTGGTTATTCTGCGGCAGATCACGATACGAAAATCTCCCCATAAATATTTTTTATTTAATAATATATGTATATAATCTTTCTGTATATTTTATTTATGAATGTTATGTTGTATATTTCCTTTAAAATCTATAGTTTTGAAAAAAATCAAGTTACATTTGTTAAAAATTTGCAGATATAAGGCTGGTTATGTATTGTACATATTTATCAAACTATCATATGCTTGTCAGAAGAACTTAAAATTTTAACTTTAGATAAAATCTACGAATTAACATTAGATTCAGATAGGCTGAAAGCTAAGACTATCAGGCTCTTTTATTTCAAAATGTCTTATATTTTTTTTTTGGAATTTGATTTTTAATGTTATATTTCTGACAAAGAATTAATTGTTGGTGTATATTGCTTTATTTAGCACATATATAGGATCAAAATTATTTGGCTATAATCATATTTGACAAATCTTATATTTTAATATTAACTTTAATTTAAAAAATGATGGCTTGTTGAATAAAGTATTTAGATCCTAGTTTAAAAGGTTAGGTCCTGTAATGACACTTGCCAATCAAGCTTATTTTCTTTACAGTTTGATTGTTTCTTTCTTTTTTTTAAGGTTCAGATATCATTTACAAACCTTTATTAATTTTGAAGAAATTGTTAAGTTGTAAATGATCATAAACTACAATTTTTAATGTCTGGCTAAAGTCTAAAAATCTGCCAAACAAAGAGCAACGTAATCTGTAGAAGGTTGTTTTAGTTGAAAACTTTTCTTCTTGGTCGAAACTTTAATATTTGCACTTTAATAAGCTGAAACTAATAGATTAAATTTTCAAATAAAATAAAATTAAAAATTCTTATTGTTTTCAGTTGTCATGCTCTTTCAAAATGATGCATTTAATAAGCATTTTTTAATTACAATTTATAAGGTGAATGACATTTCTAATGAAAATTATTTGAAATTTATTATTTTTTAAATGTCTAAGATGTAATTCTTCCCATTGTATTCATTATTCCACTATTGGTGAAATTTCTGTGATTATTTATGTGTATATCTGTGATTTTTTTTTTTTGGCCTTAAACTTCAATAATTAATTTATTACCAATAATTTATGATTCAAAAATTAAAGCAAAATAAAAATATGCATTATTTCTTAATTATAAAAATTTTTTAATGGGCAAAAATGCAGCTTGATTTGTAAGTGATACTTTGGATATTATCTTTATTATCAAATAAATTGATAATAATAATGTATGATAGCTTATGTTAAATACATAGATCACTCAAATATTGCTTTTTCATTAAGATTGTGAACTCTCTTATTGCTATTTTATTAAAAATATTTTGTTACTTTAATTATGATTATCTCTTTTTAATTGACACCTTTTTTTCAGCTTCCATGTTTTTAAATACTTTGACTCCGAAATTTTATGTTGCTTTGACTGGAACATCTTCTCTCATATCAGGACTTATTTTGGTAATTTTCTTTGTTATTTTTAAGCTATGTGTGAAAAATCATTTTAATTTATCTATATACTTTTAAAACTGCTTGATAAATCTTTTTAACTGAAGGCTTTATTTGTATAATGATCAGATTCCTCTTATTAAAAGCAGGAAGTTAACCTTCCCTAATAAAAATTTCTATCTTATTCTCATCTTCCAAACTTTTGAAAATATTTAGCACTGAAATAGACGAGACAATAGTAGCAACGATTTTTATTTTATTTTAAAACTAGAACTCGTTCAGTTTATTTTTAATATTCAACAGAAAGTGCCAAAAATATGACAAGATAAGAAAAGCAATTCACTTGTTAGGCTACAAATGTGCCGAATTGAAAAAGTTGTGTGACAATTCTAACATTGCTTTCAATTATTATTCATTCATTAAATTTAACTATGCAGTTTAGCCCACTCTCAGTTCTGCAGATAAAAAGTCCTATTTTTTAACCTGCAGTCTTCTAGTCATGCATAACATATTTAATATAATTTAAAAAAATCCTTTTTCAATAAATAAAAATCATTAATATAAATCTGTAACCTTTTTATACCACAACCTTGAATTGAGTGTGGAATAAAATCTATTTTTTAGAGATTCCTTCTACTTCTGCCTAACACATTAACATAGAATTCAAAAATCATTATATGGTTGCTATGGTTTTGATTACATTAATATTCGTTATGATTTCTCCCGCTCTCTTTTCCGCCAATACTTTTGAATGCATAAGGCTAAGAAAAAGAGCCTTGGCATTAAATTTAATCCATTAATAGCCAATACATGGATTTCCTTGGCAAAAACTATTTCAACGTACGCATTACAGTTGCTCTTTTGATTTCTTGATTGACAGAGAAGCCTTTTGGGGCTTAGCCCTGCTGCCGCATCATCCGTGCCATTTTCTAAATGTATTAATTAATATGTATGAACCTTTTTTTTACTTCAGAGCTCCATGTAATCACGCATACATTTCAAAAATTAAGTATTTTTATTTATTATAATTTGATTCTTCATTAAGCAATTTATGATTTTTTCTTAAATAATGGCTTTGACATCAGACTAGAATAAAATATGGATGACTACACCAATCAACACCCTTTTCAGCTCATGGTAATTCACCAATCATCAACTAATAGTATTTTTATCTAGCGCCAACTATTTTCCTTGATACTTTTCTGCATAGCAAAATGGGTTTTTCTGTTTATAGGGGAGAAACATTTTTCCAATTTTGCCTATTTGCTGAACCACCTGTGGATTAATCTGTCTTAATCAGCTTAACTTGGAATCAGCAGTTTTACAAAAGAAAATTATAAGCTTTACAAATTTTTTTTCAAGACTCAGACTGTTCTCTCTATAACCAGTATACAGCTATAAAAATAATTTTTTTCCCCACCCTAACTTGAAGTTAACCATTTCATTAATATTATTTACTAAAGAATTTTCTACAAACATACAAATTTAAACCTTGTTAGTTGACCACCTCTGTATGTTGATCCCCTGTCCAAAGGAATCTTAATTATCAATAAAAAAACAGCAAAAGCAATTAAATTCCATCTTTATTTGTTTACTTCTTGTCTAAGTTCGGCCACCAAATTATTGTTTCACAAGTGGTAAACTTACACAGGTTGTGTATAACAATGTGTGTATATAAAAAAACACACTTATGATACAGTTTTGTTAATGTTATAATGCTGCACAATAATAAAAGAAATATTGATATTAAAGATAAAAAGGTACTGTAATTAATTTTTTAAAATTTGAATGTCAATGAATTTAAATTATTAAACAGTTATTTGAATGATTTACTACTACTGTTTACTACTTATCTAAGTTCGACCACCAAATTGTTGTTTCACAAGAGATTAACTTACACTGTTGTGTATAACAATGTATGCATATAAAAAAACACACACTTATGATACAGTTTTGTTAATGTTATAATGGTGCACAATAATAAAAGAAATATTGAAATTAAAGATAAAAAGGTACTGTAATTAATCTTTCAAAATTTGAATGTCAATGAATTTTAATTATTAAACAGTCATTTGAATGATTTAAACAATTTAAAAAAAAAAGTGTGTATATTAAATTTTTTTATTGTTTTTTGAATATTATTCTCATGAAATATTTAAACTTTTCTCATTAAGAAATAATTCAATTATTAAATCATATTTTGGATTTAGAATATGGGCACATCTGAAATATTTTTTTATATTTATGAAGTATATTATGGTTCTAAGTTTAAATTTTCGGAGCATTATTTTAATATGTAAGAATGATTTAAGTGACAGTTTTTAATATATTAAACTTACACCGGTAATTTTTCATGTTCTCTTTTTCTAGATATTTGAATGGTGGTACTTCAGAAAATATGGAACTTCCTTCATTGAGCAAGTTTCTTTAAATCACATTTCACCATGGATTGGAGGAAGTGAAAGTAATAGTGATTCTTCCTCAAGTGGTTCAACGTCTAATGAAACTAATGGAAATAATGCCAACTGTAATCAACAGACTGGACCAGGTAATCACTATGTAGCATTTTTCATGCGAAATTCAATTTTAAGTAAAGAATTAATCACATGAGAAAAATCTTTGTTTATGTATAAAAAAAGTATTATAAATATTCATGTTTCTTTTCAGAGTGTAAGGTTTGGAGAAATCCGCTTAGCTTATTTCGAGGTTCAGAATACAACAGATTTCTTTGGACAACCAATAAGGAACCATTAACATATTATGATATGAATCTCTCAGCACAAGATCATCAGACATTTTTTACTTGTGAAGCAGATGGCAACAAGCCTGAATATGAGAGTATGATTTTTTGTTTTGTTTAAGCTAGCTTTAAACCAGCTATGAATGTTGTTTTGATTTTGATTAAATGTTTTTTAGTATATAAACTTAAAATTCTAGATCAACCTTTCTATATTGTATTCAGCTCTAGAACCTTTAATAGCTGACCTTCCTTTTACGATCTTTTTCTTTCTCTTTCATAAACATTTTATCGAGAAATTAACTATTCATATATTTATTATCTATTTTTTAGTAACTATGATATTATTTATTATTTTATAAATATATAATATAAATAATAATGTTTTTTCATAGTGTTATTAATAATATTCTTTAAATAAGGTTGAATACCCAAGTGTTAGGAGAAGGGGGGAACCAGTATAAATCTGTATTTCTTTTTGATGTATGCATATCGTAACATGAATAAAAGAGGCTAAATTATGTGTTTTGTTGAAATTTAAACGAAAAATTGTCATAAACATTGAAAATGGCTATCAGGGAAACATATTTCTTTATTGTAGAATTTAGTTATTTTAATTTGAATTAAAATGTTCAGTGGGAAGTACTAATGCAATTTTTTATAAATGTTATTTATATTTTTACATTCCTTTTAATCGTTTATTCAATATATTGTTACCTTAGAAAAACAATGTTTTTATGACCGCTGTATTTTTTTCCACAAGTATTTTACTTGAATAATTTCATAAAAATAACCAAAATATTAAATAATGAATTGATGGTTCGATATATAAATATATGTATGTATCTAATCTGCATAAATCCAATCAGCAATTCGTTATTTAATATTTTGATTATTTTTACAAAATTATTATAACTAAAATACTTGTGAAAAAAATACATCAGTAATAAATGTATATATATGTAGTTAAAAATTCAATTTCAGATTATTCTTTATTAAATCTATTAAAATTTCAAAAGAGAAAAGACTTCTGAAAAATATTTTGCCCAACATTCGGCCAAATGTTTGGTTGAACATTTGGCAGAAGGGGCAAATAGGCTGGATATTGAATAGTGGCTAAATATTAATTTCATCCCTAATAAAAACTACAATGGTGGAGAAAAGGTCTTCAAAAATTCTGTAATATAGAAAATTAAAACCTTTTGTGCTTTGATGTCCAAGGGCCATAAAAGCTTTTGGTATATGATGTAGTTCATTCTGTATGATGTTTTCCTTTTGTAAGTTTTTGGAGAAAAAAATAATGGCAACATTGCCTTTTCTTTTGTTAGTAATGCAGACTGCTTGGAGAGAAAGAGATCCTGAAGCTAGAGTCAAAGCTGCACATCAAGCTCTTGAAAAGAACCCAGAGTAAGTGTGTCAGCAGTTTTTGTTTTTTGCTTTATCCTCTTAGTTTAGATTTGTCCATGAAATGCATGTAATTTTTTAATACATATATTTGTTGTAACTTTTAATGTATTAAATTTATGGTAAAAAGGTTTTTGCAATACATATTTTATATAAAATTTTTCCTATATATACCTAGAATATATAAGCAAAAACACAGAAAAAGGTTTCAAAAGACAATTTCTTCTTTCCTGAATGTTATAGTGCTTTATGGTTAAGATTGCATAGCTACTTGTTCTGTATTGGATTTAGGCCAATACTACTAGGATAGATATTTGAGCTTGTAGAATGGAGAAATATATAGACTTGTAACTCAGCTTTCAGATCTTTCAATTATCTTGTGTGTATCTTCCTAAAAGTTGTACCTTGTTCTTGTGTGTACCTTCCTAATTTTTCAACTCAATACACCATCCTTGACTTCATTACTGAAGTCATAACATAATTTAGGAGATTCTATGTGATTTTGTTTTCTTTGCTGACAGCATGAACATTCTTGGCACCCTTCTTACGTTTCCTTTAAGTTGTTTGGTTAATGATACTTAAAAGACTAATGATCTAATTGTCACAAAGCTTAATATTTATGTATTAGTGAACACATAACTACATAAGAGAGCCTTTTAATTTCTTTTCAATCCTGCCATTCTAATATGTAGCCCTCCAGTGGCACAATTTCTTGGTGCTGACACCACTAGTTGGAAGCTGGGAGTAATGAGTTTGAGCTCTTGACAACTGTCTAAACAATCAACGTGTACAGTCAGCAAAGTGGTTGTTAAATCTGTCGATTCTGAAAGCCTGCTCATTGGTGCGGTGTGGAAGTTTGAAGAGAAGGTTAGCAGCTTAGCTGTCCATGTCTGACCAATGTGTATTACATGTCTGACCACATTTCCGTGACCAATGTCAAAACTATCTGGCATTCCTTAACCATGGTCATTTGAAAATAAAGGCCTTAAAAACAGGGCTATGTGATTGGTTGACATGTGTGCCTAAATGTACATGGCTTACAATGATGGAAATTAAAAGGAAAATTATGTAAAGTTTCATTTATCCAATTCTTTTTGTTTGTATCAATTTTGTGTTGTCTCAGTATTTTTAAAATTTTATGGTAAAAGCATTGTTACCTATTTTAATGTTTGTATCAATTGTTGTTTAATAGTAATTGTTGTTTAATAGTTCATCAATAATTGTTTTAATGTTTGTATCAATTATGTGTTCTCTCAGTATTTTTCAAACTTGGTGATAAAAAATTAGAACTAAATTTTTACCATTCCAAAATATTTATGCTTCATTATAAGAAATTTATATCTAATTATAATCTTGTTAAAATAAGTTAATATATCAAATCATATAATACTGTTTTACCAAGTTGCTTCAGTATTGTTAAATATAACCTTGACAATTGTTCCATAACCAACAAAACTTGTTGCTCCAAACAAGTATGATAATTTTATCATTATTTAATCTGAGTGTAGTACAGAACTGATGATTTTTTTTTATTTTTAGATGTGCGCCTGCATATATATTATTAGCTGAGGAGGAATCATCATCAATCATTGAAGTAAGACTTCGATTTTTCCACTGTGTTCAATTTCTAAGATTCATGTTCTGTTTAATTAATTCTAGTTTCAGATTCATATTGTGTTCACTAACTCAATGTTTATTTAATTCTAGTCAGAAAAACTATTTCGGCAAGCATTAAAAGTGGCAGAAGTGAACTATCGAAAAAGTCAGCAAATCCAACATCAAGGCCCATCTCAAGAAACGTTACATCGTAAGATATTTCAAATTTTGCTTCAAATACATTTGTTTATAACATAGTTTTTGTTAATGCAAGTACAGTCATGTTTTAAATACAATTTTTAAAATAGCTGATTGGACTTGGCTGTATATCTGAAATATTTTAACACTTAGTGTTTAATAGAAAAAAATAGTTTGTGAATTGTTGTATGTTGTAAATTTAAATGCAAATTAAATTAATCTTTTATTTCAGGGAGAGATACAAATGTTCTAGTCTACATTCGAAGAAGACTTGCAATGTGTGCAAGAAAACTGGGAAAATTAAGAGAGTGTGTGAAAATAATGCGTGATGTATGTTGCTTTTTTCTCCCTTTTTAAAAGAAATATATTGTTTTTAAAACATTTTATGCCCATTGACCTTATTTCATTGCGATTTTCTTTATTACATTGTATCTTGTATCTAAATATATGTATAATATATGTCTTTCTGATTTATGAAAAGTGTTAAAAATTAATGTCTAGTTTTAGAATTGTCAGTAACAGTAATCAGTTACTGAGATTTAAGTTAAATGATTCTAACATTTATTACAATTATTTTTTGTAAAGATTTTACATTTTAGTTAAAATTTTTCCATATTTCCATCCTTATTCAATGAAACTTTCTTGCTCGTAAATTCGAATCTTGGACATTCCAAATAAATTTTTAAAAAATTATAGTTTTCTGATTAAAAATTGCATGGTATAGATAAAATATGGTCTGGATTTACATTGAAATTTTCAAGGAAGTTTTCTGAAATTAAGTAGGAACCCTGAAACTGTGTAGACGTTATAAATATTTTATTAACTGAATTACTAAAAATTCTCAGAATAACTTCAATTGTTTAAAAAAAATGTAAAATTTGACATAATTCAACATTTCTCAAACCAAATTTGAAAATTTTTAGTTCAATTTTTATTTGTAAGTCGGGTGTAATTTCTTCTCTATATGAAAATATAATATTCGTAACTTCTTTCTGAGTTATTCTTATGAATAATTAATTTTGTACTTTTATTGTGGTTTCTTGTTTATGCTTTGTCCATTTAAATTGGAGCTCCAGTTATTGAAAACAGTTATTCTAATATTCTCACCCTTTTTTTTATATAGTAATAAATGGCCAAGTTTGAAGGCTTCCTGTGTCACTTTTGACTCATAGACCATAGGTTGTTCCTCTCTGCTCCAAATTAAACTTAATTTCCCAATTCTAATTTATTTATGGAAGTTTTGTAAGACAACAATGTGTTATATTTAATTATGTTATTAGGTAATTTCCAATTGTTTTATATTTTAATTTGTAGCTCATTAAAGAATTTCCTATGATGAATGTATTCAACATTCATGAAAATCTTATAGAAGCACTTTTAGAAATGCAAGCCTATGCAGATGTACAGGCCGTTTTAGCAAAATATGATGGTATGTTATCACATTTTTGTCTAAAAAGTAAAATTGATATTGATTTTGGAGTTTTTGATGCTAATTTCTCTTCCTTTCAGTAGCCCTGAAATGTTGTAACATATTAGATTTTTAAATGCTATGTTTGTAGCATTTTAAAAACATAATATAATATTTGCTGCAGTAGTACTATAATAAGGAGCTAGTGTTTTTTATTTTTGTTAAAACTTTTTTATTTGAAAGGTATACTAATTATAAAGAATTAATACCCATAAATAATGTTAAAAAAAATAGTTTACTCAATGAATTAAAATATGCTGTCTATTTATGCAAAAGACAATTTTACATAATTGATTTGTAAGCAGTTTTGATATTAAAATACTGATTGTTGTAATGATAAAAATAATTTCTTATGGGTTAAGTAGTATGCTATTTATTTTTATGGTTTTAATAGTATTTCTGAAAGTCTTAGGTGCATAATAAGAAAATAAAAATGAGCTGAATTTTAGCTTAGTATAAGAAATCTTATGTCATTATTATTGGCATAGATATCAACATTTAATTTAATGTAGTCCATCGTTTTTGTTATTTACTGTTTCAAAAAACCATAGCATATTCTTATTAATTACCAGTTATAAGCCTGTCCAGGAAAACTTGGCAAAGGCCTAAAGAAAGTTTAATTAATCATTGAAGTACTATGTCTTGTGATTTATCATTGACTATTTCAAATAAAGGCATAAAGGTCATTTCAGAATTAGGTAGTATTGATTAATTTCTATTACCCCAAAAAATAATTTTATATAACTTTAAATTATATTTCTGCAGTACGTACAACTATCGTTGAAAGTGATCAAAATATATAATTCAAGAATAAATTGTGGTGATGATTGTTTAAAAGTCCTCTGATTTTTTATTTTAATAAAACACTGTTGATTGCAAATTATCTTTTTACAGATTTCTAATAAAATACCAAATGATTTCCAAGTTAAATAGAACTATTTTTTATAAGCTTTCCTTAATTAAATAATTAGAGTGTTATTTAACGATTTAGTTATCGTTTAAAAGATTTTTCTTGATTCAGTCTAAAAATATTCAGTACTCATGCAATGGGTGACTTGTGATTGTTGAAATATCTAATTAACTATTTCTAAAGTTGCTTAAATTAGTGAAACTCCAAACTTATTTTTCTATTTAGTGCAGTGTGTTAATGTCTTTGAACTTTAATGTGTTGCTTAACTTACACAAAAAATAAATTATTTTTCTGAATTCTAGTATTTTAATGGGATCTATTTTCAATTGTATTTTTGCTTTGCTGTTCTTCCTGTCCTACATTGATGTAATGATTTTTATATATAATTTTTAATTTAGAAACCATGAAATAGAGGTTTTATAAACAATAAACATGTTGGCATGACTGTTGAAAATATTTATATTTTTTCTACAAATAATAAATTTAAATTTGTGTATATTTGCTTGCCAAGTCATGCAATATTTTAGAAGACTTACAATAATAATTATTCTAATGTATAAAGAATTAACCTTTTTATTAGGATTGATAATGAGTGACTATAAATATTTAACGAATTCATTTATGCTAACAGATTGAATAATAAATAGATTATGGCTATCACTATGCATGTGATGTAACATAATGCTAATTTTTTTCCCTTCAAAATGCTATTCTTTTATGTTATTTTTTTTTCAAATAGTTGTTATTTTATCTATAATTTTAGGTTTATTGAATAATTTCCAAAAAGGAACCCTTATAATTTAATAGCGCAGGATAACCAATTATTGTCACTTGATTTATAAAAGTAATGATTTCTAAACTGTAACATATGAGAATCTGAATATCTTGTAAACTTCCCTTAAAAGAACTGTGAGATTTCCTCTCCTGTAAGTTTTTTAATGACTATGTATAAATGACAATTAAATAATTCAATTCATATCCGGAGTGATTTGTTGAAGTTATTTAGCTTCCTTACTATCAAACTATGCTCTAAACAAACAAACTATGCTCTTTTATTAAATAAATTATTAGTTCCAGAATGGGACTCTGTTGTATTCCTATGCAAATCTAGTCCTCTTTTATTTTTATTAATATGTAAGTAATAATTAAAACCATTTTAAATTCCAGACATAAATTTACCTAAATCAGCTACTATTTGCTACACAGCTGCACTTTTAAAAGCGAGAGGAGTAAGTGACAAGTAAGTTTCATATCATTATACATCGCGTTTATATATTTATTTGTTTTTTTACTCACTATAATAATTTTTAATAACTAGAACATCTGCTTACAGATTTTCACCAGATATAGCTTCAAAAAGAGGTCTTAGTACCTCTGAAATGAATGCTGTAGAAGCAATTCATAGGGCTGTAGAATTTAATCCTCATGTGCCAAAAGTATGTGTACTTTATTAATTTTTTCTTTTTAAAAAATCATTTTTTTTATGACCCCCAACAAAACATGTACATTTTCATTTTAATTTTTACTGGACTCTTAATGAATTTGTTCATAATTCGTAATCTGAACAATTTATGCAGTAAAAATTATTAACAAATTGAAATATTCTCTTTGTGTTTTATTTATGCATTAATTTATTTTAATAATCTAATAAAAAAATTTCATAGCTCTCCTTTGAATAAAGTTAAATTTTCTTTTCGTTGTTCGGGGAGAATTGCATAAAAATATAATTGTATGTTTGGGGAAACCCAGCTTTCTAATCATATTTTTAAAATCTGGATAAAAAATATTTATAAATTCAATTCAAATATTGATAAATTTTTTTAGACCCTTACATTAGAAATCAGCAATAATTGCAATGTTACTAGTCATTACCTGACTGAAGTTACTTCAAAATTCTATAGAATTTTGTGAACAAAATGTACATAGACTTGATTTTCAATAAAAAAATTATGAACAAATTTATAGCTTTAAATGAGAATTTTAGCTATTTTTAACTTATAATTCTTTTAGTTTTTTTTTTCATTGTAGCATTATTTCTTTTGAAATTTTAAATGTACATTAGGGTAAGCAGAAATTTTTTTTTCTTTTTGAAATTGGATTAGTTGTAGTGTAAAAAAATTGCTTTCATGCCTCATTTCATATTTATTTCTTAGTTTTTTGAAAATTAATTCCATCTTACTAAAGAAAGGTATAAAATAATTTTCTTGATGAAATAAGATAGAACTATCTCTTTGACACTAGTTGCTTTGTAAATAACTTGTTTTTCATAGTTTTGTTTAAAACACTGAAGACTCAATTGAAAAAATCATTTAGTGCTCTGGATCCATGCTCTGCATTCATCATTTAAAAAAAAAATTATTTTGCCCTCTTTAAGAGGTGATAAAATAGTTTATTAAAAGTATGTTTAAGTGAAATATTATTATAAATACTCTGTTCTTCATAAAAATCAGTCGTGACACCAATCCTGCTGATTTTAATGTAAAATGACTGCCTAATTCCAAGTATAACCCTTCTCTCACTGTTTTTAGACATTCACTCCCCCTAAGTTTATCACTCTGACAATTTTATGGCCATAAATCTGATTTAAAGAGGTGAATGGATTATTTTTACCATTAATTTTTTTTCTAGGAGTCTGAAAAAGAAAATGTTCTAAAATTTGAACATTTGTGACTAGGGGTAAAAATTTATACTTGATTAAAAAACTTTATTTGCTTAAGAAAAGTAAAGCTGATAATAAAAGTTGAGATGTTTTATGCACATTTTCAAAGCTTGCCTTTTTTTCTCCAATTTTTGTTGGCAACTTTTTGTTTTATGTTTACAAAAAACTTGTTTCTCTCTATCATGACTGGCAAGTCATGAGAGTGGGTGTTTATTTTTGAGCGCTTGATGTATGGATAATTGTATTACTGTCTTAATATTTTTACCCAATAAAGTGTTTTAATCAAGTATGTATTCTCATTTTTAGTCTCTTAGAATTACTTATTTAAAAGGGGTAAAATTGTAAGAAATAAATCTTAAAGAGTATCAAGTTTTTGCTTATTATCTACTTTATCCATTTCCAACCTTTCTCTTTCAAACATTGCAAAATTTTAAAAATTAAGAACATAGCCACAAATTTGGTCAAAAGCAGACATAGGTTCTGAAACCCTCGCAAGAAATTTTGTAAATTAATTCTAGTATGATTATTATTAATTCTGTTTTATGTTATATCTTAAATTTAAAGTTATCCTTTCCACACCACGAAATCAAATTTGTGATCATAAAATTATTGGAAGTCAGTAAACTTAAAAATATGAGTGCCCTTATAAAACAGTGAGTTAGATTTTATATTATATATTTATAATATTTTTTATCTAATGGTTAAAATATGCCTTTTCTGCACCTCTGAATCAAATTCATGGTGATAAGAGTTTTTTTCTTTTTTTTTTCTAACTTAGTGATATTAAACACATTCATATTGATTTTTTTCTAGTGTGTAATAAGAATTTTAAGTATTTTAACAATTGCTATTTTTTACTAACTCTACCTTTCTTATACAATTCATTTATTTGCTGACGTGCTAAAATATTTAATATAGTGATATTTATTTATATATCATATTATGATAATATGATATTTAATTATAAAAGTATATTTCTGATATTATGAATGAATTATATTTCAAGAAACTATTTAATATTAAAACAGTGTTTTTTACTGCAATTTACTTTAAAATGAATGTCTTTTTCAGTATCTTTTAGAAATGAAAAGCCTAATTTTACCCCCTGAGCACATTTTAAAAAGGGGTGATAGTGAAGCAATCGCATATGCTTTCTTTCATTTACCACATTGGAAAAGGGTGGAAGGAGCACTAAATTTGTTACATTGCACATGGGAAGGAAGTAAGTCCTTGTTTTATGTTTGAACACTAATCTTATTTATGAGCTTTTCATGAAATTCTTTACAACAGTTGAAGCATTTGAGGCATTGTTATTTTAAGCCACATTTTCACATTGTGCAAGATAGTGGTATTTTTTGTGGAAAGCATTGCAACTTCCATGTAGGCTATAAGATGGTTCTTTGTAAGTGCTTTTAGCTAGTGCGAATTCAAGAAACTTGTTAAATACCTGTCTGGAAACAATTCTATACAGTTTGATGTTAAAATGGTCCTTTGAAAAAAACTGTGGCAAATCACTATATTGCTTTATACCTTTCAATTCGAAATTAGATTTTTATTTAGATAAGACCTATGCTTTTTTTATTTTATTAAAAATGAGTAATAATTAGTCAAAATATTGCAAAAGATGCTAAAATTTAAAAAAAAGAATAATGTTTTTCTTTCTTGAATTTCAATTTTTCAGAATTTCACTTTTAAAAATAATTAGACGTTGAAATTTTATTGTAAGAGTAGAGTATTAGAAAGCAAACAAAAAAAAAATTGAAAGAAAAACATAGTGTTTACGTAAATTATTTTTTTAATTGGAAATTTTAATTCAATAAATATTCTGTTATTTCAAGAAAAATTATGTCTTTGTCATGATTTCCGATGAATTTTTATCATTGAGATATGAGCAATTAAAAATTAAATCCATTTAGTTTTACTAAATTTTATTCTTTACCATCAATGAATTCTGATATTATCTATCCCATTTAGCTGTATATACAATATCTTAAACTATGTGAGATTGATTGAAAATTATATTATTGTAAAAGAATCTTCAAATTTCATCTTATTATAGTTGGTACCAATTCAGCATGATAAAATTTGTTTTATTATTAAAAACTTTGAAATCCTGATTTTTTAAGTATTGTGCTGCCAGTTTTAATTTAGTTTCGAAAGATGTTTAAATTTAGAAAATGTTTTTTTTCTTCTTCATAGAATTAACATGCTGATTAACTTTTAAACAATAATATATTTTAAATGTGAAGTATGTATTATTTTTATTTACATGTTTATTTGCTTTTAGCATTCAGAATGATTCCCTACCCTTTAGAAAAGGGGCATCTTTTTTATCCCTATCCAACTTGTACAGAAACAACAGACAGAGAGTTGTTACCAGGTTTGTGTTAACATCTTTGTTTTTGAAAATGTATACTTGATTTTGAATATGTATACTAAAATAAAAAAATTTCCTGTCCTAAAATTCTAACTAGAATAAATAACTCTTCAAAATAAGAAAACAGTTATTTTATTATTACTTTAGTGTACATTTAAAACTGCTTTTTAAGTTTTTTAATTAAAATTTTAAAAAAATATTTAAAGAGAAGAGAATGAAATTTTTTAATTTGTGGTAGCAGAATAACTAAAATATTGATTTTTTTTCCAGCTTTCCATGAGATTTCAGTATATCCCAAAAAAGAGTTGCCATTTTTCATTCTTTTTACAGCTGGTCTCTGTTCTTTTACAGCCTTATTGGCTTTGCTCACTCATCAATACCCAGAACCAATGGGGACATTTGCAAAAAATGTAGGTATATAAATTATGCATTGTTCGATTCTCTATGCATTTTCATTTATTCATGGAAATTCTAAAACTAGTTAATCTTTAGTATTGTTGCTACATAGTGTGTCCAATGGGACAAGCACTTCTATAAAATTAGAAAAGAGGTATTTTTTATTTTACTTTAGGAGACTGGAAATATATAATGTGTATCTTTTCAGTTAGAACAATTGGTTTAAAGGTACCTTTAGACTTTTTTTCACTGAATTGCAGTTAGAGCCCCCACCTTAATGAACTTTTATTTACTGAATTTTACGATATAACTCATTTTTCTTTTGCTGTTTATAAAAAATGGAGTCAAAAATCTTTATAGATAGCTAATAAACCCCAAATTANTTTTCACTGAATTGCAGTCAGAGCCCCCACCTTAATGAACTTTTATTTACTGAATTTTGCGATATAACTCATTTTTCTTTTGCTGTTTATAAAAAATGGAGTCAAAAATCTTTATGGATTGCTAATAAACCCCAAATTAAGGAGTTATTTCAAAAGATGAAAAAAAAATTTTTTTTTTTTTGAAGTTTAGGTGGGGAAAAAATATCCAAATTACTTTAGTATTCATCTTGTCTATAACAGAAAAAGATGTACTTGCACAATTACGTCACATATGATAATGAACTTTCTATTTGTGCAATTAAAGTTAATGAAATTTTGGTTTTATTAAAATGATTCTAATGCTGCGGTCAATAATAAAACTCCTATTAAAATGACTACTTTTTCTGTTTCTCTACATTGTTTGGATTCTTCAAACATTCTCTATACAGGATAAATATATTTATTTATTACTGTAATTAAAAGTGTATGATGAAATTTCTTCTTTATCCTTTCTATTATTATTTCCAAGACTAAGGTATTTTAAATATGTATTTCTTCCCCTGAACTCAATTATATTTTTTAATTTTTCAGTAACTTTTCATGTGCTTTCAATTTTCCGTAAATTACTAATCACCACAAATCTTTAAAATAATGGTTACTATAGTTACTGATAGTGCTAAGATTTAGTAATCATTAAAACAATTTTATAAGAAAATGCATCGCTTAAATTTTACTTTGTGCACATGTCTCTCAGTCGTCCAAATCAAATTTATAAGATTTGTAGCTTATTTGGATAGTCCACTTTTCATTTTATTGTAACTTAAAGTCTACAATGAAATTTTCACTTTATCCCTACTATTATAATTCTAAGATCAAAGTATTCCAAATAAATATTTTTACTCTAAATTGAAAAATATTTTTTTAAATTTCTTAGTGACTTTTTATGTTTATGCATTTTCTGCAAACTACTTTTCATTAGAAATCAGTTTTTTAAAAATAACAGTTACTGTAGTTTCTGGTCTTGCTGATAAAAATTAATGAAGGTCAATTAAAATGTTTGCCTTTTTTTGTCTCACTTTAAAATGTTTGTTTAAACATTACCTATATTTTAAAACATTTTATTTTTCAGATAATAAATTCAGGTATTTATTTTGTTTCTTTATATGTAATTTGAATCACTTGAAATTGAAAAGGCTCACTTTTCATCAAGTCATTCAATTATAATTTTGATTTATCTAGTTATTTCCCCAGTTATAATTTTTTTTCTTCATTTATGTTAATATTGTTGTATTCTGTTTTTATAAAAAAATTAACTGTTCATTTTATTTGCAATTTATTACCTATAAATGCCTAGACCAGTTGCATGCATCATTATTTTTTGTTTAAACTCTTTAACAGAAGTACTCTTTTGACGTTTTTTATTTTAAATTAAAACAATCTATATCAGAGGTCCAAAAATATTTTTGGTTATTGAACCCGAAATGATCACCTTTCTTTTGACGGAATTCAGACTTCAGCTGTGAAAGTTATAAGCACTTGTGACTATGTATTATGTTCTAACTATTTTGAATAAACTACTAATTATTTTAAAAATATTTCATTTGAAGAAAAAAATTTTTTATCATCAAAAGTTTTAAAAATGTGATTTCACGCCAGATAATTAAATTTGCAGTGCTGGGGTGGAATTCTGTGTAGTTCTGAATTAGTTTTTTCCCCTATTTGTATAAACGTAAAATCAATAAAACAAGCTAAATAATAGTTTATGTTGAAATGGAAAGGAAAAACTATTATAAACATTGTAAAAGGTTATCTACAAAAAATATTTCTTAATTGTTAAATTTCATTATTTTATTTGGAATTGAAAAAATACTAAAGCAATTTTTTTATGGGTATCTTTTTCATAATTTATTCAATGTATTGTTATTAGAATAACTATATATATATTTTAAAATTTTGCGAATTTTTTTTTCAATGGCATTTTATTTAAATAGTTTCTCAAAAAGAACTAATATTAAGTAATATGTTATTGATTAGATATTATTATAATAACAGGCTTCAAAAATCATAACTGGTTAAAATATGTCCTAATTCTTGATGCACTGAAGACTCTGTGGTTCTACAGAACACCTTTTGCAAACCACTGGTCTACACTATTTGTTGTAATCAACCATTACAGTGACCCTTTCAGAATAAGGAAAATTTTATAGACCCATTTCCTAATTAATGTCACATATTATTAACATAAAATAATTCAATGTTATTTAAGATCCTTGAGTACATCTAATTTCATTCATCAATTAAAAAACAATGCAAAAAAAAAAAACATTCGTTGAATATAGTATCCAATATATTATATTGACTACTATTTTAAAACTTTCAAATATTTTAACTAATAAAGTTTTTATTTTTTTACTCCTAAAAATGTTTCTATTTTCAAAACATTTAGTCTACCATCTCAATGTTAAACTTTTTTATTTCAATAACAACAAAAAGAGATTATTCAAAAAATTTTTTTTCAAATACAAACTACTATGTGTGATTTTTCACTTTTAGATGTTTAGGGATTATGATAGCTGCTGTAGTCATGGTGTGTTAAATTTTTAAATGTAAGTTGTGTTCTTTCCCATAGGTAATTTTATGTATCTTTATCTTATGATTTCATTACTAATGATATCAGATCATTGAATTATTAGTATAGCATCTTCTCAATGAATTTGTTTTCATATCCTATCTACATTAATGAAAGCAAAAAAAATTCAATTTGATATTTCAATAATATTAAATCCTTTAATAATTTGATATTTACTTATTGTTTTTAAAAGAAATTTCAGAGAATATATAACACAGTACTGCTTGAAAGGCTAGTAAATTTCACATTTACAGGATTTAAATGCAATGAAATGACACTGCTATAAAAATCCATTATTATGATTGAATTAAAAAATAAATAAAAAAAGACCAACCAAAGAAATCTGGACTCTTGTTTTTCTTTCAAAAAACTAGATAGCATGCCTTAAATGTCTGCTAATATTTTTTTCTTTAGAACTGTATGTGTACTTCAAAATTCTAAATACTTAAATTCATACTCTTAGTAACATTGACAGTTGAGCTTTTTCATTCAATTAGTTTTAAACTAAAGCTGCTTGCTGGGAACTTTTTCTTACTGCTCTGTGATCTAGCACGAAATATTTGACATATGTTTTTGACAACAAAGAAATGGCTATCAGCAATTCTTCTTCATGCAAAAGAATCTTTGTGGATCGTTTTAATGAGGGATTTCTCCGTGTCAAGTGGCAATTAGAATGTAGAAAGCTAGTAACCACATTTTGTTTGTGGTCAAAAATGTGTGCTAGTTACTATTATAAATATTTTCAGTTAAACTAGACTACTAAGCTTAATTGACTGTTGCTCTATAGTTTATCATTCAGTTCATAGACTACTATTAAAATGTGTGCTTATTTTTATATTTCATTTATCTATGTTAGATAAGGTCTTAAAACCTCTAAAAATTAAATATACATAAAATTTTAATAAAATACATGTAATAAAATTTGATTTTAGTATTCTTTGACAATGTTAAAGTTGTATGGTAATATACGTACTTTGTTACAAAAACAGAAGTCTAGAGTATAAGAAATCTTTAGTGACCAAGGATTAAGGGCAGCACCTTTCATAAAATATATTTTTTATTGATTAACACTCTTACCATATTGTAACAATTAAAATAAGCACTCTACACTTTACCTTTAAATAAAAACCTTTTTTTTGTATTCATTTTTATCCAGTAGATTCTGTAAGTTCTTAGGTCATTAAATGCATGGTCTCTTGCAGATTGTTGCTGTCCATTATTACATTCAGTGTAATATCAAACATTTAAAATGCTTTTATGGACACAATTTTGAAAGAGAGAATCTTTCTTATTTTTGGAAAAGCTTCAGTGAAACCAAAGCTTTTCTGAAAGCTGACTGAAAGCTTTTCGTAAGATAAGGGTAGTACTTATGATAACATCAAAAACTGCTTATCACTGTTTGTTGCTGTTTTTTCTTATAACATTAAAAACTACAATTTTTTTAATATTTTCTACTATAACAACTTTAAAATTCCCCCTAGTTATAAAAGTTGAAGTGTTTATGAAAGTATATTGTAGTTAATCAATACATATCTTGTTTAATCTTAGTTTTAGAATGAAACATATTATGTCTTTAAGCTATTCAATAATAAAGACTTTGAATTTAAAGATTTAAAGTACAATACATCCTTTATTTTCCAATCCTCTTTAATCGATCTGAATTTCTCCGTTAATTGAAGTATATTTTAAATTGTTCTTGTTGTTATTAGTATTATTATTTTTTTATTCTTAACAGGCACTTCCTCAATTTTAATAATTTGTTATCATAATGAGGATTTTAAAATTAAAAAGTCTTAGTACTGCATGACTATGTAGAATTGATCACTTAATGTGAATTACAAATAAATATTTGGTTATTCAATAAGATTGGTTTTGCTGAAGAAAGAAGTATGAAAGTTATTAATTTCTTGTTACATCCATTTTTTTAAATTTTTTATTTTTTTTATCATTACTGGTATGATTTAGTTTGACCCTGATATGAAATCAGGAAAAAGCCTTACACAAGTTGAAAAGAAACTAACTTTGAAAATTAATGAAATCAGCTATTTATTATTGATTAAAAGCTTATTAAAATGGTTTTATTCAAAAAAGGAATCGAAAGATACTTTAAGCAAAGTGTTAGTGAATTTTGAAATAAAATATCATAATTCCTATCTGATAAAAAAATTTATTAAACATTAAAAATTACATGAATTTTCAATAATTCATGAAAATAAATTTATAAAATGCATCCTTTATGATCGGGATATCTTGTTTATCTGCAATAGGTTTAGTTGCTATTTCTTTGAATAATCAAGATGTTTATGTAATTAAATTAGACTTTTTCTTTTCTTTTGTCTTGTCTTGTATTGAAAAGTATATATATATTATGAAACATGTATATATTTTTGTGAAATTTTTTTTCCATAAATTGTTATTTCTTCTACAATTTGTATTTGAGTTTGATTTATTCATTTTTTTGTTCGTGCAGGCTATTGTATGGTTAACAATGCCCTTGGCATATCTGCTTGAAAAAGTGGAAGCGTTGGTGCCAGCTAGTGTTCTACAACAGTTATCTCGTATTTAATTTGCATAAACCTGTATAACATCATCTTATTCATTATTTATGTGTGTTCTGATCATTTGTCAAAAATAAAAACATGACATCTATCTTTTTGTTTACTTATTTTAAGTAATACTTATTTTAGTACGCACAAAACTCTGTTTAATTCCAGGTTCCTGTAGTGATGTCTAAAATAGCAATTCAAAATTTTAGCGATATTCAAATACAATTATACTTATAAAATAATACTTATTTTTTAAAACTTTTTGTAGTTTTCTCATTCCAACAAATCTGATTAACTTTAATAAGAAGAAATAATTATAAGGATTGCTGCTTCATTTAGACAATAAAATGTTGTGTCTGTTTTAAATAGAAAAAAAAAACATGTTTTAAAAAATACATTAGAATAGTAATTTTGAATAAGTCGATGTAACATGCACAAGCCAATATATTGTATGCACTACCATATATTTTATAACTGAGCCTTATTAAAAACCACTAATTTTATTGTTTAAAATGATTTTTATGATTGCTTAACATTGTGACATTTAAACTTAAAGTAAAAGTGTGTTGGTATAGGGTATAAATATAATGTTGTTACAGTTATTTTTTTAAACTAAGTAATAATATACACATCTATATGCTTTCTCTAATGCATTGAGAAAAGATGCTGGGCCTGGTAAAAATTTCATTTGTGCATATATATTGTTGATAATATGCCCAGCCGTTGGGCTTATGAAAATTAAGATACTTTTTGAGCTCTGATAATACTAATGCGAAAATTCAATATCATATATTGTTTTACGTTTGGTATTCATTATTTAATAATGATGACTGGGCACAGTATTACAAAAGTAAAGAATGTTATTTACTGCCAAATATTTAAAGTGGTCTATAGCCAGCGGTCGGAAGTAGCGCACCATAAGTCGGGAAACTTCTGAAGTAGCTTATCTTTTTGCAGTGTAGTAAGCTTTAAAAAAACAATATACTGATAGTGAGTAAGGCGATACAAAAAACTGTAGTTCGTAGTGATTCCTGGCAACTACTTTTAACGTTAGTTGAGTGAAGAAATAAGGTTAAAACGCAACTAATTTTCCTGGATCTAATTGTGGACAAGATTTAATAAATTGCGTATTACTAACATTTAAACTAACCGTTATGAATATTAACTGATTTATCACTTCGGTCACTCCTTCAAATGCGAATGTTCAGTACACCCAAGAAAAAAAAACGGTTACCCTGAATAACTTTTGATTTAATGATTCATGTTCTAGGACTAAGTTTCGGGAGGGTGACCTCAAGCATGCTAATTAATTAGGACAGACGATATTTTAAGTTATGAAATCAGGCGCAAAAACGTACTTTCTCTGAATAAACATACCTTTTTTTCATCAGAATCGGATTTCTGACCAAAATATAGTAGGTTGCTGCAATCTGGGAAATATGGTTCACATAGCTTGGTCAGGGGAGCGATCCGAAATTTGGACCCCTTGATGTTAATTTTACTTTTTGCGTAACTCTCCATGTCTCGAGAGCTTCTTAAGGGAACTGAAAATTTTTTTAACACAATTATAAAATTCGTTTCTATTTAATCCCACGTAAAAATAAACTCTAGGGAATAATTTTAATTATTAATAGTCGAAAAAATTTCGACTTGTAAGGTATACAATTTTTTACGGTATTTTAAAGTATGTAATTTTACATATCAAAATACAAAATTTTGAGCGAATTGGCTGAATAGTTCCTTAAGAGACGTGGCGTTTTACAAAAGTTCTTAAAGGTGCTTATTTTCGATTTTAAAAGTACTTTTTTCATTGGGTGTTTTTAAAAAGTGTTTTTTACTTGGTGTTTTTAATGTTCTCATCTCCAAAATGAGATATTGTTTTAATTTTCACAATTCATTCAACTACAAACCATCTTGGCGTTCCATTGGTCCGTAGCGTATGAAAGTGCCCATAAGCCCATAATCTTGCATGTGATACTTGTAGGTGTGTATACTGAACTGGATTCAGTGGGAATGATTCTTGCACTCATGTGTAACTCTGCTGCATTTTGCAAAATATTCTCAACTTCAGACTTCATGTTCCGCCCTTTGAAATCGAACCGAGAAACCTTTCGAATATTTGCTGATTACGGGGACAGACTAAACATTGTAAATTTTTTACCCTAATAGTAAAGGAAAATTTTATTTCTCTTGTTAATTTTATCGTTGATGGTGAAGCGCCATCGTTTTCGTCACTAGCAAGCTAATGGCTTCATCGCGCTCTTAATCTATAGATCAGTACCATAAACCTTGAACATGACTTGAGGATCGTTCACTAATTACGCATTTTCATGTGGTTCCCCAGTGCAGTAGAGATTTTTATTTAATTATTTCTTTTAAAATTTTCATTACTCAGAAGTTGTTTTATGAAAAAAACACAATAATATTTTGCCCCAAGATTTTAAAACACTGTGAAGTGACTACATTGAGAAGCTTTTACTAATTTAAATATAGCAAAAAATCTTATGTTATTCAGATTTGTCATTCCAAAAAACTTTAATTCATCTCTTAATGATTTGATTTAAAAACAATTGAAATAAAAAATTTCATAATCTCAGATTTTTAAATAATCGTTAAATTAATTATAATTTTAAATAAAAATTTTTTTTACTTAAAAGTAAAGTAATTATTAATTTAAAAAATAGAATGAGTTACTCAATATTGAATAGATTTAAAATAGTGTATAAATTATTTTTATGGTGGCTAATATAATGACGAAACGTGTTCTTTGTCAGAAACTAGTTATTTTAGCATCCTTTTTGAATATTATTTTCCAATTTGTTAGTATGTATAGGAAGAACTTTCAATAGGAAGAAAAATTTTTGTCAGTGTTCACAATTGTGTTTTTTTAATGTACTTAGAAATATCTTTTGAGTGCTTAAAAGGTGCTTATTTTTGAGTGAAAATTTTAAATATTCGATTTCTTTTAATTTCGATCTCTCAGGAACTATTCAAAACTTTCGATTATTATTTAAAAAAATATATAAATATTTACTAAAATTTATTTTTTGAGTGGAATTATCTTTGAAAAAACGAATTTTATAATTGTGTGCAATTTTTTTGAATTCGCTTGAAAAGTTCTCGAGACATAGCGAAATACGCTTCTGACCAAACTACGCGGACCATATTTCCCAGATAGCTGCTTCACCCTTTAATTTGGGGGTCAGTAATCTAAATCAGTTGAAAAAAAGGTATATATATTCAGAGAAAGTACGTTTTTGTGTCCGATTTCGTAACTTAAAATATCATTTGAAACTCTGCACTAATTAATTAGCATATGCGAGATCCAATCCTTGAATAATTAAGTTTGGGTCCTAGAACCTGAAGATCCCATCATTTGATCAAAAGTTATTCAGCGTGGTTTGTTTCTTTTTGGCACAGTGTACATTCAGAAAACGACGTTATTTCAAATTTATGGAAATTAGTTTTTTCGTAGTTTTCGATGGGCTTTATTTCCTAAAGCGAATAAACTAACGTAAAAGACATAGCAAAAATTGCACAGATTTATAATCATCGACCATTTTTTAAATTAAATATTCCTTTTGGGAACGACATAAAAAGTTGAAGATTAAAAGAATAAATTTATAAATGGTTAAGAATAGAAATAACTCTTAAAACCAAAATACGTGTTTCTTAATAATTCTTCTTTTCAATTCCTTTTGTCAATTCTTCTAGTAAGCAAATTTAATATTCGAAATCGTTTTGAGCATGTTTGTAAAGTAAATTCCCTAGCAAAATTCATCTCCAAAAAGTAGTGACAACATTTCTGAAGTAGTTAGTAGTTACAACACTTTAAAAAAAAAAGTAGTTGTAGCTGCAGTTACTTTCGTTGATCACAACAAATCCATATCTCTGGGGGTATTGAATAGGAGATAGATCGATCTCTGGTGCAGATGAAAATTATAGTCTGTGGATGAATAAATAGATGAATGAATGGCGATGCAATGTCTTCGATTCACCCTCAGGGAAGTTTCCCAGACCACCGTCGTCAGGGAAGTTTCCCAACTGCACAATGGGCCAATATTCCATTGTGCAGTTCAGTGTGACGCAAATTAAGTACCTACCAAATCAAACCTGTTCACTGGTTTGAGCCAATCACATAAGTGTTAAGTTAGGGACACTCGCTTCCGATCCTCGTCGAGGAAAATAGAGAATCCGATATGAGTTTTTCGTGAGAGAATATGTTTCATCAATCAAGTTCTGAATCCTTGATTGCGGTCAGATGCGCATGAATAGCATAAAGTGAGAATTACCCTTAAGAATACGCAGACAACAGTGAAAAATGGTTCAGCACTTTATACTTTTATGAAATATAATGATACATTTGACATTGGAAATTCAGGTAAAGAAATGTAAAAGAAAAACTGTCTAATAGTCGGCAGTGTTTTGTTCTTGGAAAACAAACTAGAGGACCATTTCAGTAGAAATGTAAACAATAACAAACTCGAGCTGTATGCCTGCTCTAGTTCCTGTTAGAGAGTTTGCAGCTGCTTACTACATGTTATTCTGCTAGGCGATATTTTCAAACAAGTACCATAAGATCCAGCGCATGAAATGGGCCGGATACATTGTAAGAATGAACGATGACAGAACAACTAAAAGAATCTTTTTGGCAAGGCCAACTGGTGTTACTGGAGTTACCAACATGAAAAAGAGGCAGACCCCGACTGAGATGGGCGGATTGCCTCCAAAGGGACTTTACCACAATCAAGGTCAGAGACTGGAAAGCCGTGGCACGCAGAAGAAAGGACTGGTGCAGTCTTCTTGAGAAGGCCAGGGTCCACCTACGACTGTCGAGCTACTGATGATGATGACATTTTCAAACGAATAATTTTGTTTTCAATAAAATAAATAAATTAAATAATTTCTAAGCTCAAATCTGGCATATTTCATAAGATATTAATATTATTAAGTAATCCTGGTGAGTTTGAAGTGAAAATTTGTTTAAGTTATTTAGAGATATATTGTTAAAAAAGGTGACATGGTTGCTAGATTTTGAATAACTCGCTTTTTTAGCAATCTTGGTATGGCCTCTTTCCATAAGTTTATTACTATTTTTTTCTTGTTGCAAGCTGTGTCCCTTCTTACGTTAGTGTTAACACTTTTAGCATTATAAACACAAGCATTGTTAGAATTGTAAACACAAGTAATAAGTAATTAAATACATTGTTTGCAAGAATCTCAAAACACAATGATGCCAAATGATCTTGAAATACAACGGAAACAGTAACCCGGAAATTTAGGCAGTACCGAGCTTGCAGCATTCCCTAGTGTAGAAAACACCATTGCACAAGCATTGAACGGTTCCGGTGACAGGAAAGTTTAGTAAAAGTTGAAGTATTTATATTTTGACCACAAGCTGCGTGTTAAGTTGTGTACTGTTTTCATGTTTTCCCTTCGGCTGCTGTCTGCGTAAAGTTCAAACTTGTGGACGAAACTAAAATTATGGCTGCTGTCGTAGGGAAATTACTGCGAAATGACTTAATACGAATAAAAAATAGTTTACCATCCCGCAAGGTAATTAGTGGTATTGATGACTGTATGAATGTTTTCTATTTATTGAAATACCTCACCGGTTATAAACTTAGCAGTGACCTTGTCGATCTTCGAGTCCAAAAATCGCATATATCGTTTACTTTCTCGTTGAAAAGTTTTGATTAGCTCTATATTCTTAATTTATAATAATAGGATATTATCTGTATCCATAAATATTATGCTATCCGAATGTGTAATTGTTAACTATGGAATTCTTTTGTTTCTAACAGTGAAGTGTAATTACATAACCTCATTCACGTAACTAATTCTATTATTAGATTTTTTTACCTTAATAAATGTTTAATATAGGTAAATCAATCGGATTTCAAATAAATTTCAACTAGATTTTCTGAAAGGGTTTTAATTTTTTTTTATCATCAATTGTTTCTAATTCATATAGATATTCAAAGTGTTCAACAGGATAATTTCACAGATTTAGCTTATATTAAAGCAGCTGTTAACTTTTATTCACTTTACGTTAAAACTTTTTACCGTATATGCAACTTATCGCCCTAAAAATGGAATTTTTGTGTGAAATAATTCTAGTTACAGTAATTGTACAACCAGTTATGGAATTACCCATTATGTTTTGCTCTAGACAATAAAAATATTTGGAAGATTATCGCATGGGTCCAAAATTGTTTTAACGTGGAATTAAAATTATTTTAGGTTCAATGATCTGATTCATGAAATGATTATGATTACCATCATGAAATGATTATCAATGGTCTCCTAGACCAGGTATCAATTAATGTTAATGGAGCATAAAGGGTTGACCTTGGATAATTTTATGTTTTTGTCATAAAATAGCTCTAAAAAATAGCATATTTCATCATAATTGTGAATTGTAAATACCCATTCTTTATAACATTTCAATTCAATAGATTTTGTTAACTTTTAATGCTTAGTTTAGTGACTAATTTATGGTAAATAAGTAGCATTTAACTTTTTTTTTTTCTGTTAAGAGCTTTGATTGCAATTTTTATTAACATACAAAAATCAACTTTTATTTTGTATTCTTGAAGTTTTTTTTAATCTACCAGAGGCATGAAAACTGACCATTAAAATTGTTCACAGACTAGTAAAATTAGTTTGGACCAGTAACTAAATTTTCTGAACTTCTATTTCCAAGAATGAAGTAAACGTTAAGAGTAAAATTTGAAACTACTATTGGACAAGTCACTATGTAGATATTTTTTTTTAAAAATTCTTCCAGGCACTGGACAGTTTTGAATTATCTTAGTATCTACCAGTATGATAATATTATCCTATATTTTTAAAAATGTTAAATAAGAATGCTTTATGTTCTCTTAATATGCTCTATGTATGCTTTTGTCAGTTAATTTTATTTTTTATCTATATGTATTTATTTTTTTTATGTATATACAAATTGAATTATTATAAATTTGACTTCCTATAAATTTTTCAAGTTAGTGCTTGTGTACCAATATAATATTCTTAGTATAATTATTCAATAACTTCATATCTTAATTTTAGAATTATAATAGCTTAAGAATTATGTCAAAGAAATGGTGTTTAAGCAATTATGTAGTAGACATCCATGTGGCAGAATTTTTGCGAACTTTCTGCAACGATTCTCTCTAGTACTAATATATATATATATATATATATACAGTGCAGAACCTCTTATCCGGAAAACCAGATAGCCGGAATGAAATTCGGAACCGGAAATTAATTTTCTTCCATTAAAAATTTTTTTTTTTCCTGCAAGATTTTGAGCTCATTTTGTTATTTAGAGCGTACGACGTATTGAGTTGACAAAAGAACTGATTCAGAGGACGGATCAAAAGACGTTCGTAGACAAATCTCACATAAGAACAAATAGCTTATGTATGTTATTAATGTTAATAATAACATATATAAGCCTGTATATAATTTTTATTTCTTAATTTCTTTCCTTATTTAAACTTAAGTGTATTATTATTTATAATTTTTTATTATTTCTAAAACTATTTCAAAATAATTTTTTAGTTTCGTTTTATAAACATTAAAAAACGTCATTTTGTAGCGATTCAGAAAACCGGAAAAATCAGTTATCCGGAATCGCGATGGTCCCGATCGTTCTGGATAATCGGTTCTCTACTGTATATTACTAATTTCAAGTAACAGAAGTGTTTCCTGTTAACAAAAAGAAATTTAGGAAAAAAGCATTCATGTACAGAATAGAATACATATTCTGATATTTTTGGCAATATTCTCCTGTTCTAAAATTTTTTTGTGTAGTTTACTTTTTAAAATTTTATGGATTTTTTTTAAGTCTCCAAGCATTGTAAAAAAAAAAAAAAAGTCATGAGCATTTCTTCCATCTCTCATCTGAAAGGCATTTTTTGAAAATAGTTCTGCAGAAAGGGAAAAAAAAATCTCTGCGGAAAAAAAAAATCTTTCCCGAAAATTCTGCACATAAAAAAATAAAAATTTTTTGCTTCTCAAATAAAAAATCTTTCTGCAAGAACTCTGTACCTAATGTTCTGCTACAATGTCGCTGTGTCGCCACGATTCTGCCACAGGGGTAGGCATTCTTCAAAAAATGAACTAAAAGTTTCTACTCTTCTAAAGAAGATATTTACATATTTGAGCTCTGGGTTTACTTTTTTACAGCTTGTAAGTGAACATATTCTGTTCATATAGCTATCAGTCTAGTTTACAGATCTAAAGAAATATCTTTTGCACAAGATTGTGTGCCAAGGCATATTCCGGTCAAGCACTTTATCGGATAACCATACTGGTCTATATCAATTTTATTAATGACTAATTATTAACTATAGACTTTAAACTACATATTAATGCAATTTATTCTTAACTATGCTTCAAAATATTTTTGTTATGCCATTGACAAATCTATATATATATATTTTTCTTTTCAGTTTTCAAATATTCCTCACTTCAATCCTGGAAGCAAAAAGGTGATTAATAAGTTAAATTAAAATTATTGTTTAACTGTAACAATGTTTATTTAGATATTGCAAATTTTATTCCCCTGAATTTATAAATTGTTTATTTGATCAGTTGTGAAAGTTTCATAAAATTAAATTATATTTATCATTAAATAAACATTCATTGATAATTTAAATGGTGAGATTTGATGGCTTACAATATGAGGGTATGCCTTTGAAATCTTTTATATTTAAAAAATCTTGAATATCTTGAAATCTTGAATATTTAAAAAAAAAAAAAATTGTTGATACTGTATGGTTATGTTTTTATAATAAAATAGACATTTTTGTATGCATCATCATCGGCACAACTGCCCATAGTGGGCTTTGGCCTACTCCAGAAGATTTCTTAGCACAGTGATCTTTTTCTCATGAGCTTTGCAGTTCAATACTCTAATGGTTTTACAATCATTACGGTATTGTATTAGTTCTGTAGAAATTTCCTCTTCAATACTGTCATAAATGAGTTAAGAAATCTTTCTTATCCAAAGGATTATATTGGTCTTTTCCTGTTAGTTTCATAAGCATAGGTCAGAACTGGGCTGATAGTAGTTTTGTACCTTAGCATTTATAGTAGTTTTGTACTGTCATTTACAATTACAATTGTTTTTCAAACCCTATTACTTTTTTTTATATTATGTATTATGCTATAAATATTAGGGTTCATGCTAACATAGTGACTTATGTCACCCAGTCATTAACTACAAATTTGTCCTTGTGGCAAAATTAAATTCAAATTTTATTACCTCTCTATTTCAGATTGTCGAATAACAGTTTTCGTGTTCTGGTATATTTGTTAATCAAGTCTATAGCATAATTTGGATATTTTTTTTAAAATAAAGCTTAACTTTTATCTCCATATACTTCTGATTTTCCAGCTTTTAAAGTTAGTATGGTTTTTATGAATTTTTATAACAAGTTTAATTCTAAAATTGCTTTATCTTAAAATTTTATAAATTTTTTATTGTATTTAAGTTTAATTTACAGTGAGTTGGCTAAATTTTAGTTTGAGATTGTTGTTACCTAATATTGTAAAAATACAGGTTATACAAAAAGGTAAATATAGGTTACTGGCAGATTGGATCCGTTGAGACTACATATTGAGAGTATCTTGATTGTTGGATACCATTACTGCATAACTTAATTGATGCACTCTAAATTATTTTATTAATGCATTTTAATCAAGTTTTTTTTAAAATAACATTTGACAGGTTAAAAAAAAAAACGTTAATTAAAAGTTCAGGATGATAAAAAAGATCTCAAAAACTATTTTTAAATTTTGTAAAATCAGATTTAAGTATTTTTTACTTTTTATATGTTTGGTAGAAAAAGCTACATTTGCTTGTAATTTATCTATATTTAAATGCTTATTTATATTTCAGTTTCTTATGGTATCTGGCCTAGCTATCGCTGGGGCTGCTGGAGTAGCGTTAGCTTTGAAAGAAACTGTTTCAGCTGGTGAAGTGGTTGTTCATCCTCCAAAGCATCCTTGGAGCCATAGTGGCCCTTTAAGTTCATTAGATCATGCTAGGTATGAAATTCTCAAGATTTATAACTATAGAAGTTTACAAGTTGTCCAATAGTATTATTTCAAGACAATTTAGAACAATGTTTACCAAACGTTTAAAGCTATTTAACATGTTCTTGCTGTCTTGCAATGTTATAGAAGACAGTGTAAAAAGGGTATCCTTTTATTGACCAAGGACATTAATCAATGTTATTATTATTTTGATAATGAATTTAAATCTTTAAACACATAAATTATTTAAATTTAATTATATAAATTTTAAATTTAATATATAATTACATAGCTGCCAACTGTCCTGATTAAATTGTATTTATTCCAGTTTTTTAACCTAATTCCGTAAATACAATTTTAGGTCAAAATGTTCTGATATTCTTGACATTCTAGGACTCAATGGTTCAAGGGGTAACCTCAGATATGCTAATTAATTTATGCACATGGTATTTTAAGTTTCTAGTTCAGACACAAGAGTGTATTTTCTCTAAATAAACATACTATTTTTTTTGACTGATTTAGATTTTTGTCCCCCCAAAAATGGGGGGTAGCTCCAAGTTGGGAAATATGGCACATATAGTTAAGCTAGAAGAGCGGTTTAAAGTTTGGATCCCTAATTATTAATTTTAGTTTTTGGTTATCTTGCTATATCTCCGAAACTAATGAAGGGAATCAAAAAAATTTTGCACACAATTACAAAATTCATTTATTCAACTATATTACCAGGTAGAAAATAATTTATAATTTTTTTGTTTTTGTTTAATCATAGTAAAAAATTTTTGAAGGGTAAATCATACAAATTTTTATATCATTTTAAAGAATGTAATTTTATGTGTCAAAATACAGAATTTGCACAAAATCAGTCGAATAGTTCCTGAGAAAGCGTATTTTTAATTTGAAAAGTAGTAATTTTATTTTTTTGTCCTAGTTCATTTTCTTTGCCTTTTATTTTTTTCTTTAAAAGACTGAAACAAAAGTATTTTTATTTTTTGACTTCAGAATTTTTAAATATTTTAAATTTAAAAATGAATCTAAAATTTTTTGAACTCAAAATTTTAAAAAACTTGTCTCCTAAAAATAATCGTTACGTAAGGAACATAAAAGTATGTGCCCTTGTGTGACTTAAAATTATGTATGACCTATGAATTACATTTTTTAAATAATAATTTATGTAGGTAAAAGTTTTATAATTATGTGGAAATATTATCTTATTTAATGAAAACTCAGTTAATATGATTTCAATATTCTGTAACAACTTGAACTCTGTATAATGACTTGTTTAAATCTGTTAATGATATCATACACAGATTCTTTGAAAAAGAACTAGTTAATAAAAATGAATTATATATGCTTAAATTTGATACTTTTCGTTAATAAACCTTGTTATAAACCTTCATTCGTTAATAAACCTGTTGTGCGTAAATAAGTCTTCTTGTTTTTTTTTTAAAATCTATTTTTTTCCTCTTCCTATTAATCGGAAACCTGATTTTACTTAATTTCAAACGTTCTAATAAATTATATTCCTTACAATAATATTTTTAGAATCTATCACCTAACGTATATATATTTTATAATGTGCGAAGTATTGCAATTGTACATTATTTTTTTTAGCATACGTAGAGGGTATGAAGTTTACAAGCAAGTTTGTGCAGCCTGTCACAGTATGAAATATCTAAGGTACAGAGAATTAGTTGGCGTATCGCACACTGAAGACGAAGCTAAGGCTGAAGCTGAGGAGGTTTCTATATAAAGATATTAAATTATTTTAAGTAATATTTTTTTCTGAAGCAGTGATTCAATTTTGTTTTTCATTTTTTTTTAGATCATGGTAACAGATGGACCGAATGATGAAGGAGAAATGTTTCAAAGACCTGGTAAACTTTTTGATGCTTTCCCAAGTCCATATTCTAATGAAGAACAGGCTAGGGCAGCCAACAATGGAGCCTATCCTCCTGATCTCAGTCTGATAACAAGTGCACGCCATGGTGGGGAGGTATAATTTTTAAAAGCTTCATTTTCTTTTCTGCAAAATGTTTCGTATTAGATAATAATTTTAGTGTTCTTCAGTTATTTTAAATTTTTTACATTTTATAGTATAATTGCTGACTAGTTAGAATAGAGTTGTTTTCATTCAGTATGGTATCAAGAGTATTTTAATTCTACTTTCTTCTGAAAGAATAATTTTTTTCCTGTATTTACTAAATTTTCAGAAACAAAAATCATGAAAATTTAGATTCTTCAAAGCTTCTATTAGAGAGAGAATTTTTTTTTTTTGTCCCTATATATGTATTTATTTTTGTTTTGTTCATACGCTGCACAAAGTTGATATTATTTGAATCTACTGATATTTTTTTTAATGAGATAATTTATAAAGGTTGTGATTTTTTTAGAAGTCTGATTTCTTTAATATTGAAGATTTTATCTAAAGAAATAATGAAAGGATAAATTAATATAAATTATCATTTAATGTTCAAAATAGTTGTAATATTGTTTTTAAATAGCACTAAGCATTATCAATATATTTCATCTAAGATTTGATAAGTAAATGTTAAAAAAAAAGTCTGATTTTTAAAAAAAATCAGGATTTTTGCTAACACTATAGAAAAAAGGAACAGTTTTCAGGACTGATTAAAAAGAAATTACTCTAGTTCAGCGTGCATATTTTTGACATAAATTACTTTACCTGCCACTGTGTAATGATTCCATTGTTAGAGGGGGGGGGGGAAAGAAAGGTGTGATATTTATGTGTTTCTTTCATGTGTATTTTTTTATTAGTTTAATAAACTACTTCAACTTATGCATTGCTTTTTTGAATAATATTGTAAAAAATGTATAAGTAGCCCTTGAAAGTTTTAAATATTTGAAGTTAGATATTTTCTGTAAAATTAAGTATAATTTTTAATATCGGATGTTACGAAAGCTGGATAATATATCTTTGTTGCTCATTTGAATGTATAGAGTCAAAATTTGTTTAATGTTTTTAATTTTGACCTAGGATTATGTATTTGCTCTGTTAACTGGATATTGTGACGCTCCTGCTGGCTTTGAATTAGGCGATGGGCAATATTACAATCCATATTTTCCTGGAGGAGCTATTGGAATGGCCCAAGCATTATATAATGAAATAATAGAGTATTCTGATGGAACTCCTGCTACTCTTAGTCAACTGGCTAAAGATGTCTGTACATTTTTAAAGTGGGCTGCAGAACCAGAACATGATACTAGGAAAAGGATGTTTATTAAAGTAAATTTGCTACTTTGCTTTTACAATACTTAATTTCATAGCTGCCAACTGTTCAGAATTTTCCAGATTCATTCCTTATTTTTAAATAAAATCTGAAAATCCGATATTTTTATTTAAAAAAATCTGAATTTTCGTAAAATTGCTGTATTTATACAGTAGGGAACCGATTATCTGGAACGATCGGGACAATCGTTATTCCGGATAACTGATTTTTCCGGTTTTCTGAGTCGCTACAAAAAGTCGTTTTCTTTATTGTTAAACTCAACTAAAAAAAAAAATATTAGGAAATCTTGAAAAAATGAAGTAATACACTAATGATTATTTCCAAAATGATGCTAGGGTAAACATCTTTCAAAAAAGAAAGAAAAATCCTAAAATCTTATAAGGAAAAAAAATTTTTTTTGAAAAAAATAGCTGGAAAATTTATCGAATTTCGTTCCGGTTTTTTGGTTTTCCGGTTTTCTGATTTCCAGATAACGGGTTTTGTACTGTACTTTTAAACCAATTCCTTGCTCTGATTGCTGATTCCTGTGATGATTGTTTAGAAGTAATTTTTAGTAGCTTTTTTATTGGGAAACATTATTCCAATATCTACTGCTGATCAATTTCACTAAATTGAATCCTAAACTTCTACTGAGATATGTTATTTTTTTAAAACTGCATTGTAGTATTTAAACATTACAAAAACACTTGCATCAGAAATATTTGTTTATGATGCAGATTATTATTTACCCGTGTTTTATAATTTGGAGAAGAATAATTATATTGTAATGGATAAAAGTTGTTTTTAAACTATTATACTGTTATTCCTAATTATAAGGTTAATATATTGATATTAAATATATTTTTCTTAATGTTCTTAGTTAATAATTAAATTTTTGTTTTACTCTAATTGGTTAGGGGACCTCAAAAAGTACAGGAAGGGAGAAATAATTTCAGGGATGCTACGCCTGCGCCATTTGCGACAAACTGAGACAAAACGGCATAACTGCGCCATTTTGCGACATTCAGCTCAGTTTCTGCCAAAGCTGCGCCATTCTGAGACAAAACGTCCAAAATTTGGCAAACCTGAATTCAGTTTCAAATATTAATCCGCATTGCCGTGAGTCATTGGAGATCATTTTGCCGTTCACGTCTCCAAGGGATGAAAGACTTCCACGAAAAAGCGGAAATCCGCTTTTTTTCTCCCAATTTTGAAAATTTCCGACCATGTTCCAAAAACTAAAATTTTTGGGAAGTCCTATTGGAGAAACCCAAGCCGCCCGAACGATAGTCGGATTACCGCGACTTCTGNCTTTAAAATATTGAAATGTTTAAAAATACATTGATAAATGCTTTTATAATATTTTTTGTTATTTTTCTAATTTTAGTAAAAAATTATATTTTAAGTATTATTAATGGCATGGAAATTTTAAAAAAAATGCAATTTCATGTTTATAGATCAATATATGTCTTACACAGAAATTTTCTTTTTTAAAGCAGTAAATTATAAGAAAGAAATCATAATGAAGGAGATATATCTTCAGGCAATAATAACAATTCATGAAAGAAATATGGTTTTAATTTTTTTTAAAAAAGGCTACTGTTAGTATGAATGGAAATTTTAATTTCTGCAGTAAAAAAAGTAATAAATAAAAAAAAAATTATCAAAATATTTATGATTTTCTTTAAAATTTATTAAATTAAAAAAATCAGTGCTGCCAAAATCAGTTATTTTATTTTATATTCATTTAATTTTTAAATCTAAGAACATGTCTGATTTAAAATTTTTTTTAAATTTGTGACAAAATTACTCAAATTCTTGCATCACCAAAGAGAACAAATATTGCTTCATTAAGCATTCTAAATTTTATAACTTTCCACTGTACTTTGAAATATTAAAATGTTTGATAAATGCTTTTTTTGCATTGATAAATGCTTCTATCATAATTTTTTTTTATTTTTCAAACTTTAATAAAAAGTTATATTTTGAGTATTATTAATTAAATGGAAACTTTTTTTAAAATACAACTTGATGTTTATGGCTCAATATCTTACACAGAAAATTTTTTTTTCTACACAGAAATTTAGAAAAATGATAGATGTAGAGAGCCGTGAATAAATTTATTTGTGTGTAGCCCCTTGTGTTTTTCAATGTTATTCTTTATTATTATTTTTTTTAAACATTTTGAGACGTAATATTTGCATATATGTTACAAACACCAAGAACATAGTGTGTCTAAGCTAATTTATTTCTAATTATGATTTAATTTCTTTCTTTTAGGTTGCTTTAGTGTTATCTGTACTGACAGGAATTTCATTTTACTTCAAAAGACTAAAGTGGGCTCCTCTCAAGACACGAAAAATCGTCTTTAAAGAGAAGAAATAAATCTAATGCAATCTAATATTCACCAATGAATTTTTATTTATGAATTAGTTAAAGCTTTCTCATCTTTAAATAGATACAGATAGGATTACCCTAGAATATCACTTTAAAATTTTAATGTGATCCTATGTAATTACCCTCGAAGAATTAAACTGTTTGTTGTCTAATTTCTTGACTGGGCTGTAAAATTTTGTCCTCTCTGCATTAAAGCTATTTTGTAACATATGTTGATAATTTTTAATTAGTTCATATCTATCTTTCTATCATGTATTAATATTACATGAGTTGCCCTTGATTTAGTGAAGCAAGCAGAAACAAATTTTCATATTGAAAAGATGTATAGCAAAAGTAGTAAAATTTGTTTGCAAATATTTGCTCAATTTAATATTGCATGATGTAATACTAGACTTACAATGTAATGTGTTTCTTAGATCTAAAGACAACCAACAAAAATCAAAATTTATTTTCTGAAACTTTTTTTTTAATGTTTAAATTAAATTGAACAGTAAATGATTAATTTCCAATAAAGTGAATCAATAAAGTCTTTCTTGGTTTTATTTCAGACATATTTCATTCATTGATATATTTAATTAAATATTTCAGTTATCAACAAATAAAAGGTGTAATTATCCGAGTGCAATTTCTAAAGTTAGTTCCTTATATTTTTAGGAGTACTAATACTGTTTTTAGGAAGACTAACACTAATATGCTGATAATATTTTAAAGGTTAAACACTTGTCTATTTTTCTACATAATCAGCAAATCAGTTGACATTTTTATAGCTGCTGTGATATTTTTCATATGCTACTGTTTTATTTTTTTATATATCCGTCGTTGAACAGCCGACCCAATTTTGGGTTTACGACTACTAATGTTCAACTCCGTAGCATTGTAATTTTGAACCAATCCAGAAGACAAGGAAACTCGTTAATCAGTACTCCCAGAGATATTGATTTGTTATGGGAGCATGCAAGATTTGCAACTTTTGCTGCAAAACGATTGAAAGTAACTTCATTCAAATATCAACTAAAATCTTAACAATATTGTTATTAGTCATAATTTTGTTTATTTTTTTTGTCAAAACAGTTATTTTCATTTAAGTTTAAAAAACATCTAAAAAAATAAAATGCATCTCTTTTTGATCCATTAAGCAAAACTTGGGATTATTAACTACAGATTTATTTTAGCCTTTCGCACAAAAATAAACCAAGTATAAAATTTAAAAAAAGACAAATTGCTGGCAAAATTAGTTTAATGAAGTAAAAATGAAGCTCTTCTACATAAACTTTTGTTTCATTTTCTCTAAATAGGTTTCAATAAACTAATTTTTAGTATTTTCTTTAGTGTAGTCAATTTATCATGTAAGGCAAGAATTAGACATTCTTGCCTATTAATGTGCGACATTTGAGACATTCTTTCAAAGTGTGACATTTGAATACAAATATTTTGCTTAACACACACTACAGGCAAATGTTAGTTTTTCCAAATTGTAGCAAATCAATATATTGATTTCTATGCGACTGGTCTTAAAACTAAAAACAAAAATTAATTTCTCTGAAATAAAGATCTTTGTCTCATTTATTCAAAAATCTTTTTGAGTAAATGAGTTTAAAAGATATTTGAAAAGTGAGTGTAGTAGAGGCTGGTTATAAAGTTCTTTATTTATTCACTCTTAAAATCTTAAATATTGAATAAATAGGATTTTTAACATTTTTCACTGTTGTCTCGTGATTATCTTCTAAGAACTTCCTCTGCACTGATTTCAAAACAAAGAAGCTTTTATGATTAAACCATTAAATACTTCAAATTAATGATCCATATTATTAAATTGTAAACAAAATAAATAAAATTTTTAACTCAATATATGCTTATCTGATGACAACTAAATTTTTTTATTAATTTTTCATTTATTTATTATCTGCGATTAAGAGGAAAGCAGTTACTATTTTAATCTTATTCAAACTTACAATAGAACAAAACTTGAACAATATTTTGTCAAATTTTTATCAAAAAGTATTTTGAAGATTCTGCTGTTGATAACATGTTTAGGTGTGCTACTCGCAAAATATCACATTGTCTCACCAGAAATTGCATTTCGTCTCAGTTAAAATCTCTTTTTAGCTCAGTTTGTCTCGGCTAAAATTATTTTTTGACTCAGTTTATCTCAGCTAAAATGACTATTAATCAGTTTGATAACAATATAAAGATAATTTTCGGGATCCATAAAACCATTAATAGCATACTAGGAGTACTACAATTATACATACATTCACTATTGCTAGGATTTTAAAAAACCTTCATATGATTGATTATAAGAGTCCACAAAATTGTTTTGTGGACTCTGTTTTCATATATGCATTTATCATTTATGCCAATGAATAGTAATAATTAAAATATAATGGTGTAACCTTTCTAAAAAGAAATATCTATTTAGTTTTGGTAATTCAAAAGGGAAAATACCCATTTTATTTTGAGCTCAAATTTCATCTCAAAATATATAACTATTCAGTTACAATGGAAGGTCTACAGATTTCAATAATTAAAAGAAAAATTCAGTAATTAAATAATGAGAGTTTAAGAAAATGTAAATAACACAAAAAAAACCCCACTCTTTGATAGAATTCAGGAGGTGCAGTGAAATTTTGAAATATTTTAGGTAGGAATTTTTCAAGAAAATTTTAGGGAGCACTTAATAGCCAAAAATTAGCATATATGAATTTTTTTTATCAAAACAGAAATATATAAAATATTTAAACCGGAAAAAAAAAAGATATCATCTTTTCTTCAGCCCACACGATTATATCCGTGGATATAATCGTGTGGGCTAAAGAAAACATAATATCTTTTTTTTCTCCGGTTTTTTAAATAAAATTTCATCCTTTTTTTTTTAAACTGTTTGTTATTTTTTTACTTATTATTTCCCCCCTTTTTTTCTCATATGTCTATTTTTTTCTGTTTTATTCTTCATTTTGAACTTATATATATTTATATATATATAACATTATAATTTCATAATTGAACATTTATAACGTGTTACATCGACATAACAATCAGACCTCCTTGTGCCAGAACTTATTTGCGTATAATTTAGCGACTGGGCCATTTGTTCACTATTATGAATTAATAAATGGAGCAAAGCCTTAAAATAATAGGTTAAGAAGAACCAGTAATTCTGAATCGTAGAGTAAATGAGAGTTTATAGAGAGACCTTAAAATCAGATCTCTTCACCATATAAATGAGATTCTAATATGTTTTTCTTGTAAATTTTTGTATCAAAAGTCTTATGAACTCTAATTTCTAAAAACAGATAAATTGTGCAAAAAAATTCTGATTTTGTTGTATTCATGCTAAATTTTAAATTAGAGCGGAACTTTCAATAAATCAAGAAAAAAAAATATTCGTTTTTAAATTTATTAATCTCGAATCTACATGCAAAGTGCGAAAATAACATTTTCCCAACTGATTCACGTAAGACACATTAAACACTTATTTTGTACCGAAATCTTCTTTTTTGTTCTGCTCTTCATTTTCGTTTTTCGTATTTTTTCCTTTTTTTATTTTATCTTTGAAATACGATAAAGAGTCTAACAGGGATAAAGACGATGACCAAAGAGAAAGCCCCAACCAACATCCAAGAAATCCACCCACATAGCTGAATAATTCAATGGACTGAAACAAAAAAAAATTAATTAGCTGAATAATTAAATGGACTGAAACAAAAAAAAATTAATTAGCTGAATAATTAAATGGACTGAAAAAAAATTAATTAGCTGAATAATTAAATGGACTGAAGCAAAAAGAAAATTTAACCATAAGAATACATTATATGTTAGCCGTTGGCTGATTGCATATTCCAGTTCTTCGACAACAAGTGCAATTATTTTGAAGTGCTCTAGGCTAATTGGGAAAACCTCCAATATTTTCTAATTATCTTGTCCTTCTATAGCAGTGTTTCCCAACCTTTTTTGTGCCATGCCCCACCTAATCCTTTCTAAAATTCTTATNGCTTTAGGAAATACAATCGCGACAGTTTTCTTGGTACTGAATTGAAGATTGTGGGACGTAGCCCAGTTTTCAAATTTCGTCAAAATCATAGTGGCTTGGGGTCCAAGTCTATCGAGAAATGTTCCGTTGAGAAGTAAAAGGAAGTCATCAGCGTATGCGATTATTTGCTCATTAGATTCCCTTTTCATATTTAAAAGGGTGTTCGCTATCAGTAGCCATAAGATCGGTCCCAGACTGGTTTACAACTACTAATGCTCAACTCCGTGGACTTGTTATTTTGAACCCAATTCAGAAGACAAGGGAACTCCTGGATCAAGTATAAAAGGAAATTTGCCTTCGTGGAGGACATTTGATAGAACTTAAGGTCTGGTTTGTTAAGACAAGCGCCATATCTGGGCGTCAGTGGAAAGTTGACGTAGGACTGACGCCAAAAAAATACTTTTTTGTTAGCTCAGCGTGAGCAGTTGGTCCAACGCAGACATTATCTCTCATTGCGCATGCGTTAATAACGTAAACAAATATTTATTGTGAATTTGTATTGATTTTGTTATTGTTGACCATTGTTTTAGTGAACAAATAATGACTTTGTCCAAGAAAAAACACATTATAGCTGAGCTAAATGAAGAGTGCTATGTTTAATGACGAAGCTATGTTTAATGTCCAAATCAAAATCTTGACTGATTTCAATGTGCTGTTGGATGCTGTCCGCCATTGCTTCTGTGGTTAACGTCACGTTGTAATCCAACTGCAGTTGAGTTGGACGGCAATTGTAGTTCAAGATGAGCGTTTGATGACGTATATTATCAAACTCACAAATGGACCAATCAGAGGTTATCGCTGATTTCCAGCTGACGGCCTCCTGTCCTAAGAAACCAGACCTTAACTCGTATTTGTGTTACACGGAGAGGAAGACCACGTGAGCATCCCATGATTAGCCTAACAGCAAGGGGACTCTAACCCATGATCCGTCTACCACTGAGGAATATTTCACGTCAACACTGTGGTTGGTGTAAGCCGGATGCGGAATTCGTATCAACCATCGGATTCGAACTCGGTTCACTTTATTGGAAGGCGAACTCTCTATACCCTGAGCCATCAAGGTTTATCCTTCATATCTTGAGGCTTATTAGAAATATATCGTTCCTTGTTGATTTCAGCCAGTTTGCAATATGCTCAGAGTAATATATTATTTTTGTAAACTAGCCTTATTAAAAGTTTATTGCAATAAGGCTAAACAAATGCAGCAGGTCAGAGCAATTCTTTTTAAATTTCCCAAATAGCCTGAAACCTAAAAAAATATCAGAAGGATTTGAAAGTACTGAAAATATTTACCCCGACCTGCCCCAATTCAGGACATACTGGTAAATGTTTATTAAAACCAAGTAAAAACAGAAAAGAACATAAAAAGCAAAAAGTGCATAAAATACAAGAGTCATATGCCAACAGCTGGGAGGGCCTCCATATAGTGCTTGTTTGAAAGTACTGAAGACGTCTCAAATTAGCCTGTGCATTGCAAAGCAAAAATATTTGCAAAATATGTAAAAAAATATGATGCTAATGAAATATGGTAGAGCAAGATTTCATTAGCATCATATTTTTCGCCACACTGGATCATATTAGCAGGATCATATTTTTTCCTGGAAGTACTACCCATGCTCAACTAAGCATATTTTATTCACTTTCTGTTGTTTGCTAAGTTATTAGTAGGTTAATGATATTCAATCATTTCCAGACGAAAATATATATTAAATATCGAAGCTGTAAAAACCAAAAATAACTTAACTTTTGTGTTCACAAGAAAATATTTCGCTCAGTCAAGATGTAATAAACCTAAAATTCGACTACGAGTATACTCCCCCCCCTTCCTCCAGAACGTGGACACGTACCTAGGTTTGCAAAACCCTTTCCTGTATAGTCCACGTCTAGCTACCAATCCAGCTTGCAACAACCTCGGGAGCGAGCCTGATCATACTGCTAAGACTGCACCAATTTTATTAAATTATTTTTCTCAAAAAGAATTAATTTAAACAGTCATGCATATTTAAACCAAAATATGCAGTTTCTGTCTCCAACTAAGTTTCAAAAAATTAATGGCACTCACTAATGGGAAGTGGAAAATATGTATTAAGTATCAAAGTTATTAAAATAACATCAAATTAGTTTAATATTTGCAAGAAAATATGTGTATCAGTAATTAGAGAAAGTAATTCTGATATTATAAAAATATTATTTAGTTTGTACATAAGCTTGAAAATCAACCATGAGATTATTTTCCTCTTTTTATTAAACTTTTTTAATCAAACGTAGTTACATCAGTAAAGCGATTTAATCAATAAAGCACATTTGATGCAAAATATTAATTTTTTTCTGTTAAGGTATTAGATTGAAGGTAATCAATAAATTAAAGTAGGAAAAATCAGTTTAAAACTTAAGTTACAAAATAAGAAGCAGCATCATTATTCTCATTCAGCATCATTGCTGAACCTATTCAATTAAAGCTTCATCACAACAAATAAATTAGGCTAATCAATCATTGTAGCCTTTAGTATTTTCAAAATATGGCATCGAATTTTCAAGTACTTATCCACATGGTTTAAATAGTTAACATGATATTAATTAGTTTAAGCTAACTTTAAATTGGTTTTTAAAACACATTTTATTGACATAAACTACGAAATATACTCAAAAGCATATCTCGGATTGAAATATATATTTTATCGATAAATTTAGATTTTTGTTAACGAAACTGCGGTGCTTACCCACAATCTTGATAGTATGGTTCAAATAGTTAAGTCGGAAGTGGGGTCGAAAGTTTCTCTCCCTTTTTGCGTATTTAACCATAATTTGAAAACTATTTAAGCGTATCGAAACATTTTAGCATATAATTATAAAGCATATATTTAGCATATATTTTTAAAACAGGTCTTAAATGATAAAATACAAAATTCGAACGCAATTAGTTAAATAATTTTCGACAGTCGAAAAACGTGGGTAGGTACTTAATTTACGTCGTACTAGAGCGCAAGACTTACGTGGCACTTACCAAGTATTTGGGCGTGTGAGCATAAACTAGAATTTTAGGTTCATCAATCTTAATTTCCACTGGAATTCTCGCTTTGCTGAAAGAAAAATATAATCATTAATAAAATAACGTAAGAAAATTTCAAAAAAATAACATCATTTCTATGGTTTTGTATAAAAATGTAAGAAGTAAAATATTGAGTGTAACATATGAAAATTGGTTTGATATAGTATCAGTTAACTTTCCAGATAATAGGGAGATTTAGCACTTTTAGCTTCCGTACTTAAGATTGAAGCAACTGCGCATGCTCGAATTTATTATAGATGCTACGCATGTTACGTTATATTGATTTACGCTACAAAGACAAAACTACAAGCACGCTGTTTATAGCTGTTAAATGTTGTTTTCTGTGTAACCCTACCTTCGAGCTAAGAACATGGAATTTGAAAAAATGTATTGATGAAATTTAGATGTGAATCGTATAATCTTACAACCATTGCTTCATTCAATAAGACAATAATTTTATTGGTTTGGTCTTCCTATGGTTGTCTTGCACTAGTTCCATAAAAAACTAGATGTATTTTTATTATTTCAAAATTATAAATTATATTTATTTTAACCATACAATTTAGTTAAAAAAAAGTTATTGTTGACGTATGCCTGTTTAGGCAGAGAGGTGCGATCGTTCTTGCTTTCCAGTGGCGCCATCTACGGCCGAGAATTTGACTTCTGCCACACCATACGTCACACCCGTTTATAGGACGGACCCATTCATACATCTCTTCATTCATCCACAGACCGCAATTGTGACTTGAATCAGAGAACGATCGATCTTCAACCCAGAACTCTCAGAGGTATTGATTTGTTAAAGGAACATGGAGGACTTTTGCGACTCGACTGATTTAACGTGCATCAGTCACTTTACTACACGGGGAGTCTTCGGTCGGCGGGGTTCGAACCCACGAACTCTCGGACATGGGCCCAGCGCTTTACCGACCAGGCTATCCCGGCCCAGTTAAAAAAAATTAAATACTCAACAGAAGATCAACAGTTTTTAAAAATATTATTATTAATAATAATAAGCGGCATTTCTTATCGCTGAATTCATAAAAATCTATAATCTACCAAATTTTTCTGCTTACTGATCCGCAGTTTCACGTAGTGCAAAGCATCTTGAATCATGTGCCATAGCTTTAACGAAAATAGTCTTCATCCCTCGTAAATGTTTGTTTTGATTTTGTGGTCAAAGTTAAAGTGATATTCTACTACGTTAAAGTTTTTAACTTACGGATTTTTGTAAAATCTTTTATTTTCATTTACGTAAGTTTGATATGCTTGTACGGGAGCATGCGCATTTCACCCGAACTGACGCATGCGCACTAGAAGCAATCATGCGCAATCACTTGAAATCTTACGTAATCTTACGAGAGTACGGAAGTTAACGTAAATTTGCGAAATCTCTCTATGTACATTTTATATAACGTTTATCTTTTATCTCATTTTATAAGGAAAAAATATTAAATAAGACTATATCAACTCGATATTTATAAGTTACACTGAATAATTTATTTTCTACTTTTTCATGCAAAACTATAGGACAGATTTTTTTTAAAAATTACATTATTTTATATGATATTTTCCCTCTTAGAATTTATCAAGGCATATAAAAAATTACGCCTTATTTATTCCCAATATTTCCTCATTTTCGTAAATTTGATACTAACAGTAAACCTGAAGTCTGATATACACTGAGTGGCCAAATTATTATGATCACCTCAGAGTTTTATTCAAATGAGTTATTGCGTCACAGCGCTGCCGCTAGAGGGCAAGATAACTATAACACGGGAATGCTGGACAAGTGAGTCATCAGTTATACTGTGTTGCTAGCTCAGATATGGGAAAGAAAAGTGATTTAACTGAATTTCAACGTGGAATGATTGTGGGTGCGAGATGCGCCGGAATGAGTATCAGCAAAACGGCTGCACTTGTGAAGTGTTTCAGAGCAGCAGTTGTTAATGTGTCCAAAGAATGGACAATCAAGCAAAAAACCGGGTTTCAACGTCAGACTTGTGGTCGTCACAGGGCACTGAATGCTCGATCAGAGAGAAGGCTGGCCAGGGTTGTGCAGCGCAACAGGAGAGCAACAGTGCGACAAATTGCAAGTGATTTTAATCAAGGAGCAACTGTGAACGTTTCTGAACGGATTGTTCGATGCACATTGCGTCCTATAGGGTATGGAAGCAGAAGACCTGTTCGTAAGCCTCTATTGTCTGCTTTAAATAAGCGCAGACGTCTCCAATTTGCAAAGAAGCACAAACATTGGACAGTAGAGGACTGGAAGAGGGTCATGTGGTTCGATGAATCACGATTTCAAATGCATCGCGCTGATGGCAGGATGAGAATATGGAGAAAACAGCACGAAAGCATGGCCCTAACTGCATTGCCACGACACTTCAAGCTGGTGGTGGCAACGTTATGGTATGGGGAGTGTTCTTTTGGTATTGTATGGGTCCTTTAATTCCTGTACCACAACGCCTTAATGCCCAAGGGTAAAGTATCATCGCAGATCAAGTACATCCGTTTATGTTAATGGTGTACTCTGGCGGGCAGGACAACGCTCCTTGTCATAATGCTGGCATTGTCCTCAGATGGTTCGAAGAGCATGACGGAGAATTTAACTTGCTTCGTTGGCCAGCACAATCCCCAGATATCAGTCCAATTGAGAATTTGTGGGATGAAATTGAACTGGCGCTCAGACAGATGAATCCAGTAACATCAAATTTGCAGGAATTGGCAGGTGCAGTTCAGCGAGCATGATCTGGCATACCTTCTACCACCTAGCAACATCTCATAGAATTCATGCCCAGACGAATTAAGGCAGTAATACGCTCCAAAGGTGGCCCAACAGCGTACTGAAGGGGTGGTCATAATAATTTGGCCACTCAGTGTATTTGTCTAATTAAAGAGGAAACCTTATTCATTTCTACTTATCGATTCCATCGTTAACAGTAAAATACTGATACTTAACTGATTTTTACCGGTAATTAACAGCAGTTATATTATCAGTAAAATTAAAATATTAATAATAGTAAAATTAAAATATTAATACATTGCAAAAAATACGATAAAAATGATAAAGTTAATATTACTTCTTTCCTTGGATTGGGTGGACATTTTAATTGAATTCAGAGATTGTAACTTTTTTATTCAGAGATTGTAACTGATGACTAAACAGTTCTGATCAGCACTAAGAGACAATGCACTGAACATTATATATTGCCACAATTAATTCTAAAAGTTAAAATTTCAACAAGTATTTTTGACGTCAATAGTATGGCTGATTTTCAGAGTTCCTCTAAATGAATCAATACCTTTTTCTGCCATTAGTTTTGCTTTTTAGTACTCTTCTTGTTTTTCTTCATTTCAATTGCTGTTGATTTTTAATTATTTTGTTCTTTAGAAACACGTTTTAACTGCACAACTATAAACAAAATAAATTTCTGAAGTACTACTTTGGTAGGGTAGAACCCGGTCCACATGCCGTCCACGTTTATCACTGAGTTAGTGAAAAATAAGTAATCTTTAAAGTACATGAAATTAAATTTTAAAAACAATCGTCTGCAGATTTATTTAAAACAATGGTTAATGTTAAATTAATCCGAAAAAAATAATTTTTCAAATATCTCTCTCGATCTAATCGACTAATTATTGGGATTTTCTGATCTAGCTTTATACCCATACACTAGGCTAGCTTTGTATCCATAGACTAGTAGTATATATGGGTGAAACCGTTGGGTAAACCTATTTGATATAGTTGAGAAACGCGATCTTCGAACAGGCCGTTCCGCTTCGTCGAGGGCTCACGGATGATACAGGAGGCAGAAAATGCAGAAATCAATCAGGCCTATCAGAGGATACCTATCAAATGGCAATTTATTTAAAGATGTGACTGCGCGAACAGTAAAAACAACAATAAATCGATAAATTTGCTTATTTGGGCATCTTCTTCAAAGCAAGTAAATATGTGGTTCAAATTGTCAACTATTTTCGTTGAGACGTGGTGGCTTAGTGAATAGAGAATTCACCGTCCAATGAAGTGAACCGGGTTCGAATCTAAGAGATGGCTGGCAGATACGAATTCCGAACCCGGCTCTCGCCGATAGACACAAAATATCCTCAGCGGTAGAAGGATCATGGGCTAGAGTCCCCTTGCCGTCAGGCTAACCATGGGAGGATCTTGTGGTCTTCCTCTCCGTGTAACACAAATGCGGGTTAATTCTATCAAAAAGTCCTCCACGAAGGCAAATCTAACCCTTTGGTTACGGTAATCTGCAAAGACGGCTTCATGGGGATTTTCAACATCATGGTTGTCGTGGGTATAGAATTGGCAACAAAACATTCGAGCTTTGCAAAATTCGCTCTACCTACTCAGAGCATTTTAACCCTAAATGACTAAAATGCTTAAGCTTCTCTCCTAAGTTACCTTCTTTTCGCCTCGTTCACTGAGGCCGACAGACAAGGTCACACAGCTTCTCATCATTTATTAAGAGGTGTAGGTAGTACTTAATTTCCTTTTTTGGTTGTCCTAGTGTTGACTATTTCTTGATTATCTTTAAATATTCGTTTGTCTAGCATGTTGAACTACTGTTAACTGTAGAAAAGAATCAAATTTTAATAAAATTTATTTAACGCATTCTTTTATTCCCCATAAATTAAGCTTTTAAAAAAGCGTGCTCAATATTCTATCACACCAGTAGTTTCTTTTGAAACAAAAGTGAAGCTTTTGAAAATTTAAGATTGGACTACCCATTCACCAAGTACTGAAAATTAATAAACTTATATTGTTTTTAAATCAACTTACGTAGCTTCTCTATACATCCTCTGAGAAGACTTCATGAAAGCATAAAAGAACAAGTAAAAACATTGAAGATAATTGATTATCACCGAGTGACATGAACAAGGTACGTAGAAAAAGTTCAGTGTATAAATAATTTTAAATACAGTAAGGGAATAAATTGTTACTTCTCATATAGTAACACCAGTTTGCCTCAATATATTTTTATTGTTGACGATAATGCTGTTAAAGTGAGAATCCCTTTAGAATCTACTGAAAAAAGAATGTCTTCAATAAGAGTTTGCTTTTACTAAAATCACTGTGATTGGCGCTGCTAAAACTGTCTGTGCTAATACGCAAGTCTCCTAATACCCATCCGCAATTTTGGTCATCATTCCATCATAGCTAATTGATGACAGTTACATTTGTGGAGAGTAGACCATGAAGGAGTTTCGTCACCTATGGTTCCTTTTTCCTTAAAAAAATAAGATTCAGACCAGTCGCTATTGATATATGTTAACTACACATAAGCAAACAGAGTATATTTTGTGCAACGCAGAAAAAAGCAAAGACACCGCGAATGGAACGTAAATAAAGGTATAAAAATGGATATCGTTTGGTTTGATTCTATAAAAAAGAACGTAACTGTATAAACACAAAATGGCAGTAGAAAAGTAACGAGAGAAACACGTGCAAACTAGTTTAACCAATAAGAAAAGAGGAACAAGCTTGGAAAATAAAACAAAAGAAAGAGATACGCAACAAATTGAAGGTTTGGCAAGAATTCTAATGTGCATGATGTAGAAACTACGTTAGAATAGATTTTCAAGCATTGGGAAAGGAAGGCTCACTAGCATTAACGAATCCTTAACGATATAATTAGAAATTTTGAAATATAGAAGGATTCCCAAAAATCAAAGATGGTATAGGAACAACATCACATTCATTTCTGATTATAAAATTGTAATAGAATTTCCTGTTTATTCATTGCTCCATTTCAATTTCGTAAGAGTTTCCTTTTACACTTTGTTTAATAGCCGTGACTGACTATATGCATCGGTTTTTCGCACTTCAATAGAAACGTGCTGATTTTCCTTAGATCACTTTCTGCTTAGGCACGAGCCGGAATTTTGAGTGCATGTGGCGTGTAAGATATCCATTCACCGTACGGTACATATGTCTTTTTAACGCGATCTAAGTGCCATCTCTTCACGAGTTGTTCGGCGATTGAATGCATTGGAAGCAATTGAGCTCACGTTGCTCTTGAAAAATCAATTTGTTCACTAATATTTTCAGATTCACCTTGTATGTAAACAATGGCAGTGTGTATTGCATTCATCTATTACTTTGCCTCAACCTAATATTAATTGTTGAAGTAGGTTAGAAATTAAATGAAAATATGCTAAAAAAATAACAAGTATTGTAACGTTAAAAATAAGTCTAAATATCATAGAGCAAATTGCAGATAAATAATGTAGTCTGTTTGAAATAAAATTTAAAAAAAATGGAGAAATTCTAGCCTTTTAAACAGCTATAAACTTTACCTTTCTTTTAAAACAAGCAATTAAGTTTTACTAACATATTTTTCGAACATATTAATATTCAAATAGACATACGGTTTTTTTAAAAACAATACTGATAAATATGTCAGCTATTTACCCAATCTATAAATGGCCTATCTTGAACTCTGATTGTATACCTTCTCTCCCTATAGAAGAATAATTATAGATTATGTGAGGATAAGGATTTAATAAAAAAAGTTTAAAAGGGAAATAAACATTATTCATTAACAGTGTAAAATGTGGTTAAGAAGCAAGCTTGTCGTTAAGTTTTCCGCATATTCACAAAACATATCAATGCATTTATCGGGAAGCAGGCTCAAGTTGTTCAAGCCATCTTGCTGGAAACCAAGTCGTATTTAAACAATACTATATGAAGCGAACTTTCCTTCATATAGGATTTCTTTATTTTTCAAAAACAGAAAACAGTCACATGGTGTTAAATATGAGCTTCATGGAGGTGTTTCGAAAATTCCCACTTTGCTAACACTATACGGAATTGTCATTCAAATGGATAACTACTACAATCAACATACAAAGGTGATTGATTTAGGTGCTTTGATATCATTTGAACTGTCTTACGAGGTCTCTTTTGTCTTTCAGCTCACGAAATCGAATTACGTTATCTTTCAAGACGTTTTGCTATTCCAATGGTTTTAACGCATTTTTTAACTGACGCAAGCGATCATTATTTGTGCTTGTAAGACAATATCGGAGACCGTTGTCTCTAGTTAAAGATAATTTAATAGTTCCATAACACTTATTTTACATATGTTAGTACTTATAACCTTTTGTTTTGTATGCAACCTACAATATTCCTAATTTCATAAAAATGCTCATTAAAATAATTTAAAAAAATTTAAAGAACGAAAAGTTTTATTACATTTAATATCGTTTGGAATATTGCTATTTTTTCAAAGGCAACTCACGATAGTCAAAATTTATCGCAATCAAGAAACTTACAGTCCCCTTTCTAGGGGGGCCTCAGTGGGTCGGGATAGCCTGGTTGGTAGGACGTTAGATTCCTATCCGTGAGAACGGGAGTTTGAATCTAGCCGTCTGAACGCACCCCGTTAAGTAAATGGTGTACGTTAAATCTGTCGGATCACAAAGTCATCCGTATTCCCATAACAAATTATAGCTCTAGGGGTACTGAAATGGAGATTGGTTGTTCTCTGGTTCAGGTCAAAATTACGATCTGAGGATGAATAAATGGATGTATGAATGGGACCCCCTATAAACAAGTGTGGTGTATGGATGCCGTGTAAGTCGAATTCTTGGCCATAGATAGCGCCACTGGAAAACAAAAACAATCGTATCCCTTACCTTTATAGCTTACAACAACAACGTCATTATTGGGTTCAAAAGCGTCAGGATTGGGTTCAAAATTACAAGACTACGAAGTTGAACACTAGCAGTCGTAAATCCGAAAACATTGGGTTGGCTGTTCAACGACAGTTATAAAATAAAAAATAAAATATTGGATGCCTTGTCACTTATATTAGTATATTTGATATCGATTAAAACAGTACCTATTACCAGCTTATCAGTGCTGTTGTTGTTGTTACACATCCCCCTGGAGAAGGAAAGCCTAGACCAGGTCCAAAAGGTTCCGTCGCGTCAGTTCCTCATATATCTGCAGAAAGTCTCGATCAACCAGCAGGGAACCATCTGACTAAGGGTTGTTTGCAGCTTCATTTTAGTTAGAGGAACCAGTAGGACAGAAGACTGACTTGACCTCTGGATTCACCTGCAGTCGTTAGCTGAGCAAATTGGAACAGCCTTCACGCCTTATCAGTATTACCCATTACCAAATTTAAAAAAAGTACCGGGGAAGTAGGACTGTAAATTCCAATGGTAAAAAATTTGAATTTGTGGCAGAATTGAAGGCACACACAATTACCGGTAAAATCTATTACCGCAGGTACCTATATTATATTAGGTGCTTATTGGCACAGCCCATATTATCAATAACAAGTATTATCTATTACCATAGTTAATTAAGCATCACTAGTGTCTAAAAATGATTTGACGATTGTTTACAACTCTTCAAAATGAACTAAACATTTTCAAGATCAGCAAAACACTTACTTGCAAGCAACTTTACAGCTTGATGTACAGTTCACCATTAATTTACGCCTTTCTTCCTCGGAATTGCACATTATATTAGGCGTTCCAGGCTCTTGAACTAGAAAATACATGAATAAATCAATCAAATAAAAAAGAAACACACTGAAAAATGTACATATAAGCACTTGATAATGGAAAAACCTCTGTAGATTTGAAAAAATAATAATATTGAAAAAGTCGATATGTTTCAAGAGCTAGAAACAAAGGTGCCCATTCTCTAGGCTCATTAATTCTGTTCTTCAACTATTTTCCCATCTCTTGAGTCTTGAGAAAGGTCTGTTGAGTGTGTCGTTATAGTATAGTTATTTGCTGATTACTCCCCACTATAACAGTTTTGAAATTTTATTTTGTTTGGTACAGAGTCACATTGTTGTACCAGGAAACGACTTGGCTGATTTGGCTGCGACCACTGTTTTAACTCTACCTATGCCTTTCTTGGACATAAAAAAAATTATATTAGACAGTTTATCACATCTCTGTAGCAACAACAATAGCATATTAAAATAGTAACAAATTACACTTCATAAAATCAGATTTCAACCCTTTACCTGCACTACGTTTACCGCACGCAGACGTTTAGCTAATCCGGTCACACAAGTTTGACGCATCTTCATTTGCTGTTCGGCACAGCATGTATTTTTGTGGACTTTGTACCACTAAACTCTACATTCAATTAAATACAAAGCCATCATTTAAATATTATTAATAATTGGTAAGCTTAGTTTGTATATGAAATCGACTTCCTTTTTTTTAACAAGTATCTAATTGCAATGTAAGAGCCAAAATTGTGATATAGTTTATATAATATGAGTAGTAAGCCTACAATGAGAATATTTTTATTCAAACTGTTTCTTAAGAGAGTATATTTCATAGAAGTGAAAGTGCATACTTACACGAGCATGCTTCTTCGATTGTGAAGAACGTCCACGGATGTGGACGGTTATAGCAATTTTCCCATAATGCATTAAGGCAGTCGTAGATGCACACCTGGCGAAAGGCCATAAAGAATTGTTTTATTACTGAGGGGAATAATAATAAGAGAAAAACATTTAAAAAAAACATTAAAAAATCATTGTCATATAATTCTACTATTACTTTTGATAATAAAAAAAGATATGCTTAATGTACTTTAGAATTACGTAAGTATACCACCTTAGAACTACCCGAATTTTTAAACAATTTAATCATTATCGTAATACTATTGAAATTCGAAAACTAAACATTATCTCGATGGTATTGTATTATGTTGCTGAGATTATATTTAAATACGGTAAAAAACCTCTCCTACTTAAAAAAAAATCGTTAGAGAATATTAGGCAACAGCGATATGAATTTAAATAAAACTATTTTCAGTGACAATATTCAGTGATGATATTCCGTGTTACTGATAGATCATATGATGTATCCAATCTGGGACATAATCCTAACATGCATATCCCTCGATGACAATCATCGGCAACGAAACCGACAAGCCGTAAGTGCAATCGTATCCTCAACTTCCAAAATAAATTGCTTGAAAATGCTCGAGTGATACAACAATCACAGTAGCCGGAAATATCAGCAATCAGCTGTGAAAAAATTGTCTATAGTTAAAAGCGAGTCGCACTTAGACCAATCAGATTGTTTACATTTTATAACGTTTCAGTTCTATCCAATCACGTTTACAAATGTAAATAATCATGGCGGAAACGAAGATCGAGAAGACGAAATTTTTCATTGATGTTTCATCATCCTGAAACAGAACATTTTTGGAGAGAATTATTTAAATTCGAATATTAAAAGTTTTTCGTATGAGGAGATGTAAGACTCAAGGCAGTTGATGTACCATAACAGCAGCCCGCACACCATTTTAGTGGCGGTAAGTGCAGTAAACTAATTTTAAGTTAATTTTTATAAGAATATTTATTTGTTCTAAACTAATGAAATCAGAGCTTGTTATAATTTGTTTCAATCAAAACTATGATTACTTTTGTAGAAATAATTTCTATTTTTATAAATATGATGAATTTTTCTGGCGAGAAGCTTCATATTAAAATATTCACCAAGTAACTTGCCAAACGTTGTTGCATTATTCTAACATCTAAAATAAAACATCACAAAAAAGAAGATATAAAAAAAAATTTGATCGCCGCAAGGCTATCACAGGTTAACCATTGGCAAAATAGTTGTTGTCTAATTTGTTTTGGAAAAGTAACTTTATTGTGTTTTCATCTAAGACTCATCTCGGTAAACAATTTCGCAGACATATTTAAATGCAGCTCAGACACATTCTGTGTAAATTCTTTTGATGACTGAATAGACATTGAACAGCCAATCGAGATCAATATTAACATTTTCGGATTGGTACAATAGTGTTTGAAGGAGATTGTAAGTTGCATCATACACCCGTTTCGGATTTACAAGTTCATACATGAAATATGATTTGAAAGCAAGTTTTTTTTTTCAATTTTACATGAATAGTGAATGAATCGTTTATTTTGCGTGGAAGATAGTCTACTGTCTTGTGCAAGTTATTGGGTACGGTGACAATGGATCCTTTTATCCCTAACTGGTGATCAGCACCCAGTTCTCGTATTTGCATGTAGGGCATGTAGGTTGCGGTAGGGTTCAATTATCTCAACCACTCTGATACTTTTGTTAGGGACAGGCTTCATGCTTGCGTTTGAGAACAGAATCCTTTCGTTTTTCCGCTTGTGTGTAACGCTTAAGGCAGGGGTGTCAAACTCGCGGCCCGAGATGAGCATTTTAGCGGCCCAGTCAATATATCAGACGCAAAGTAAAAATAAAATAGAAATGTGAATTAGAAACGAAGCCAGCATATAAAATGATAATATACTTTATTATTTTTATAATATTGCAAGATTTATCTTCTATTTTTGATGTAACTAAGGATCAGATCATTACGAACATGTTTGACATAATTAAAGCATTCAAATGTAAACTATTTCTTTGGGAAAGGCAACTGAAAAATGAAGATTTAACGCACTTCCTAACGTACAACAAGAACAAATCTATTTTAGATGGTATTGCATCGTATCAAAAATACCCAGAAAAAGTTTCGAATCTTAGAACAGAATTTGAAACAAGGTTTAAAGATTTTAATTCTTTGGAAGACAAATTTTGTTTGTTTTCTTCCATTTTCTCAATAAATATAGACTCAGTACCCAGTAATATACAAATCGAAGTGATTGAAATTCAGTGCCACTCAAATTTGAAGGTAAAATTCATTGAAGTGGGTGTTCCTGAATTTCAAAAATATTTACCGGCAAGGTTTGAAAATACTCGAAAATTCGCATATAAAATTAATTCCATGTTTGGAAGTACTTATCAGTGCGAGCAATTATTTTCTGTTATAAATGAAAATAAATCTCCTGCCCGAAACCGTATTAATAACTCTCACGTTGGGTCAATTTTGAAAGTAGTCTCGGCCAATACAATTTCTCACGAAATAGGAAAGATGGTAGCAGAGAAGAGATGTCAAGTATCAGGACGAAAAAAAATAATTTAACTTTATATATGTTTATTACAATGTACTATTCCAAATAAAAATATTTGTTTCCATGAACATAGATTTTTTTTTTGCGGCCCGCCTAAAATTAAGCATTGTTTATTTGGCCCAACTTAGCTTTTGAGTTTGACACCCCTGACTTAAGGTATTCCCGTCTACTTTCTTTGGCGTTTTCAGCCTCGGTAAATTTTGGCCGTGACATCGGTTTTTTTCTTGCTTCAACTCTAACTTTTGGGACCGTGTCAATCAGTTAGGACCCTCTTTATTTGTGATATTCACCTGAATTAGAATTGAAAACGATCCAGTTTGAACTGCAGGTTAGAATTTCTGATTCTTTATTAGAACAATAAAAAATTAAAATATCGTTCAAATGATGAAATTCTCTTTTATTCACAACTCAAGAAGTATTTATGGAATCTCAAAAATAATCTCCCCAACTTGATGCGTAACTATGTAAGACAGCGACTATGTGATTGTCAAAATTCACCGGGTGATGTTAACAACCACCACGCGGTCATTCATAGTAATATATATAGAGATATCGCGCAATCGATATTAAATACCTCTTGTGATGTGGGTCCATTTCTATTATTTTTAATCCATTCTTCTTCATAGTCCCGGCAATCTGTTTTGTACGGAAGCTTCAGCTTATGATCTTCTTCCTTGAGTATAAATAGTGTTATGTATATTTGTAGTGCAGTAAAGATTGAAGAAATAATTCAGTTTGCCAATATTATAATAAATAATGCACTACTGATTAAAGAATGAAAAAAAATATGTTTCTTTAAAAATCACATTATTATTATTGATACCAGCGATGAGAGACGTTGTGGATTATTAGAACTACTGATATTGTGGTAAAAGGTACTTTATAAATGCTTGTTGTGGTTCACAGAAACGTAATAATTCCCAAAATTACAATGCCCATATGAATCTCAAATGCCCATATGAATCTCAAATGCTCATATGAATCCAAAAATGCCCCTATGAATCCAAAAGAATCACAATTAGTCTATTAAATTGATCTATCGTTTTTTTTCTCAAGAATTTTGCTAATAATAATTAAATAGAGAACACTGGAGAAAAAAAATTTCATCTTAAAATCCAATAGGGAACACAAGTTGTGTTTATTCTTAAATAAGAAAGTGACCGAGTTTCAGAACTTATTAAGTATATCTTGAAGGCCCTCTAATAATTTCAGATACAGTCTAACTTGATAAAATTTGTTAAAAATTTTGTTTATCTAGTCCAGTATCTAGTATTATACGGAAATTAAAAGTAGAACTTAAATTTTTATCATTTAACTGTGTTTATGTATCACCTTTTTGTGTTTTAAAACTATTCTTATTAGTTTTTATGTTAGTTTATTATTTTATAGTAAAAACCAGTGGAAAAAGTATTTATTGTTTTTAAAATTTATGAGAGTATTTCATGTGTGCCTAAACTTTCGTCCCCCACTTTAGAAGTGTTACTTTTTGAAGTTATACTTCTTATGCGACTTCCAACAAGATTGCGTTAAACGTTTAACGCTACATTTTTATTGGCCGGGAAATCACGTGGTGGGATTCAGTTTTCCCTCATTTATTTCCATATTGTTTTGGTTCTCACTAGCATGAAAATAATAAAAGTATTGTTTTTCTATAAATATTTTTTTAGTTTGTTTTGATACACATAAATTTAATAGGGCAGTATATTTTATTTTCAAATTCAGTGGATAACAATTGTAAAAAATGAGTGAAAACAATCTCACGGACAATGAGACGGATTTAAGGTTATGTCAAGGTACGTCTCTTGTGAATATCAATTGATTGTTTCTCTTTTGAAATTACATTATGACGCATTCACACACATTATTAATACAAAAACATTTTCCATGGCGAGGCGATGAGGCAACCACAAGCACTTCCACTGGTTCAAGAGGGAAAAATGCACAATATTACCGTTATTACAGAGCACGGAAGCGAGCGAAGCAGGAAAAAGAGTCGTTGAATAGAACTAGTAATCCTTCTACGACTGCTGATTCTTCTACAATTAACGTCACAGGTTACGAAGTTTAACTTCTTCCGCGCTGAGAGACTCCACACACTATTTTATTTAATATAACCGTCGTTGAACAGAGGACCCCATTTCGTACTTACGACTACTAATGTTCCACTCCATAGCCTTGTAATTTTGAACCCAATCCAGAAGACAAGAGAACTCCTGAATCAAGTACTGTAAAACATTTGCCTTCGCGGAGGACTTTTTGAGGGAATGATGGAACTAACCCGCCTTTACGTTACATGGAGAGAAAAACCAAGAAAATCTCCCAATGTTAGGGGACTCTAACCCATGATCCGTCTTCTCCTGAAGAAATGTAGCGTTAGCACTGTGGTCGATGCGACCCTGGTGCGGAATTCGTATCAAAAATGCCATGGCTGGGATTTGAACCCGGTTCACCTCATTTTAAGGCGAACACTCTATCCCCTGAGCCACCACGGTTCTAGAATTATTACTTGAAAAAAATACTACGATGTGAACTATTAAATCAACAGTTGAGGATGGCTTAATTTTAACGTTGTGGCAATAGCACAGATTAAAGTAGCGTTGTCTTAGAGTTAAAGTATTGCCAACTCCTTAATTATTACTGGGGTCTTACTTGTTGCTTATCATTTTTGGGTGAATTTATCTAGATGCATTGAATACTTTTCAACTATGTTAATCTTGTAAAATAAATTAATTTTTCTAATAAAACACTAAAAGTTCCCCGTTATCTTTAAAAATGTTACAATATTTTATTTAGCACGTTAATACCGTAGAAATTGTTTCAAAAGAAATAACTCAAAAACTATTGACTATTTTATCAATGTTTTTTTTAAACTGGGAATATAGCTGCGTACTGTCAATTACAAGGTTAAAAAGAGTACATTATATCCCTGGAAATGTAAAAGTAAAGCTAGTAAAAGGAAGAATTAGAACCTACCAATTTGACGTGTATTTTATATTCTCTATTTGGTACTAGAGCAACGCCGTCAAAATTTGGATCAACTAATGTGAAGGGGGAATGTATAGAGAGAAGCGCTCGCGGTGTTGAGAAATAATCATAATGGTCCGTTTCATCTAATCGAACCTCAAAGGCTTCAGCAACAATCGCTCGTACGTCAACTAAAAGGGAAATATGATTTCAATTATGGTTACTATTTACATAACAATTCCAGATTATTCTAATGTAAAATGTAAATGTGTGTCTATATATGTAAAATGTAATAATGTAAAATATAAAAATGTAAAAATGTATTCTAATGTAAATATGTAAAATGAATATAGTACATGTTAACGAATTCGAAAAACAGAAAGAGAACATTTTATGATCCATTGTATCATACTTCGAATGCTATATACTATTCTATAACTATTACAGTTCTATAACTATTCTATAACTATTGCATGTTCTGAAATTATATTTGTTCTTTAGAATGAAGTAAGCAATGTTGAATTCACTTTAATTTGTAATGAATTGAAGACAACAAAAAAGAAATATTTTACTTTAATACACACATCTGTAACAGTATGGAAGTTAACGGTTGCAAGCTTGTTGATAATAGAAAGGTAAAAATTATTGAGAAATTTCGAGAATTATAGAGTTTTTTCAAGTTCTTCTGCCTTTTCCTTAGGGAAATTTTGCTTCTTATTTACTACTAAGAAAATGTCGTTCGACTTTGCCAATGATTATGCCTGAACTAAATGCCTGATATTTTCAGGCTCCCGCTAAGAGTCGTTCTCAAGCGTTGCGATCGCGAATTAACATCAAGTGTCATCCACTACAAATTTAAAAAACTGTATTTGGAATTGAGTGAATGAATAAAAAGTATTTTATTAAGGATTGAAAATTTGAATAAGATACATAAATATATATATGCAGAGCGAGAACAAAATTGTAGGAATTAAAAAAGAGGCACGTGGTATCAGATAGCTATAAAAGTATAAATTTGGTGACGTGGATCACACGTGCTACCACGTGATGTTCTTTATTGAATTTATCTGACACAGCGAATATAAAATGATTAAATATTTAAATGTTCGCAATCAAGGTCTTTTTTGCTCAAATAGAGCTATATGTTAGAAACTATCACTGATGTTATCTTTAAAATATGTGATAAACTGAATCGCTTATAGTAAAATTTCAAACAATGACTAACGCTTAACCAATCAGAAAATTCCGTTTTGCTTTTTGCTCAGTCCTATTTAATTAATGAATTAATGTTTGAAAAAACTGTATTAACATCGATTGTCATCCACTAAATGTTCAAAAAAATGTATTTGCATTTGAGTGGATGAATAAAAAGTATTTTATGAACGATTGAAAATTCGGACAAGATATAGGGAGAGTGTGAACTAATAGTAGGAATTGGAAGAACAGTTTTAATTATTAGGATGAATTGTGAAAATGTGAATTAATTCTTGTTATAAGTTTGTCACCATTAGAGTTAAACGCTTTTTTTTTCTATTTTCTATTATTTACTAAAAAAGCACAAGTTTTACCTATTAGAATAAGGATTTTAGTTTCAGCTAGATATTATGGTTCATAATATTTTTTAAATTTTATAAATTTAATCAGATTATGGAATGAACTGAAAAATTGGAATGGTGTAATTTTCCTTAGGATCAGCTCCAGGGTGCACACGCTGCAGTTTTATAAATACTGTTATAATTTTTTTCTTCTTCTTTTTCCTTTGTTTCATATTATGATTACGGCATGATTGCTTTGCTTTTGATTTTTTATTCACTTAAACTAGCATTTTCTTTAATTTATGAGCCTGAAAGTATTTAAAGGTTTTTTTTTTCAGTAGAAAAATTAAATGTATTTACCTATTTTTTGTGGTGCGGTCTCTTGTGATGCTGAAATGAAATAAAATGAGTTAAAAAAGGTTTTCAGATATTTTTTTAAAAAATGCATAAAATAATATTAGTAATAACATTTTAAAATATTGTTTTTTTTATTTAATTAATAATTTTAACTCGCTGAATTCAGTAAAAGTTGTAATAGGCACGCTGCTTGACAACAAAGATCTGGTTTTTCTCCTAATATACACACACTGATACTTTATTTTTGCTGAAAAATATTTCAGCACAATTCTGTTTCATGCAGATTTGTTTCAAGTCGCTATGCTTGGAGAGTTGAGCGTGTAAGTTATACTATTTAATTCAAAACTGTTGAAAAATCATGCTTTTCATTTTCTTTATAAGAAATCTTATAATTATTATTTTACAAAAATTATACTAAAGCCTTTAAGAGTAATTAACCACAAATATGTATGCTATCCATTAACATAAAAGTAAAATAAATTTTCCAAGACATTTGTTATTTACACTTTTTAATCAATATGTCTCTCTTATGTATTGTGTTAGAATAACATAAAAATACAATAATGTTTAAAAACAACGCAGTAATTTTCTTGATAAATCATCTGTAATTCTTTTGAAAGTTACGAAAAGAAACAAACTGCCCACAAGCAAGACATGCAATCTATTGTTAAAGAAATACAATTTACCGAGCTCTCAAAACAATATTTAAGGTATACGATTTTATTGAACGCAAAACAACAACAGGGACTAAAAAGCACAGATGTATGTCTTTTTTATCCTGCGTAAAGGAAGAGTCCAAAGACCATAACTTCCCACAGGCGACCCAGAAGTGTTTATTAAAATAGTCAATTATTAAAATAGTTAAAAATCATCATTAAAATAGTCAAAAATAAGTGTTTGTCTTAAAGCTGAAAATATTTGAAGATAAAAACATAAAGTATGATTAAAATCAACATTGTATCCTGCAGAACAAAAGGGACAGCCGGGATAACAAACACCAATTCGGTGTGTCATGCAAAAAGGTAAGCCTAAGTATTTTTAAATGTAACTGTAATAATTTTGTTGTAACAAGAGAGTAGGCACTTAACTGTGCACTTTATATATTTTTACTGCATAACTGTAATACAAAAATAGTAAAAGAAAGAAATACATACGAAATATCTTCAAATGTCTCTCAATTTCAGTCTTTTTAGTCGGCTCACTTGTAATTGCAAGATTATTCATGGAATAGCAATGTTGCACTAAGCAACTAATATAGAATGGTCCCTCCAGACGTTCTCTGTTATGAGAAAAACAACAACTTATTAGTATAATAAGAGAAATAAAATGCAAAATATCACACTTGTATAATCTTTATACATGTGACAGATTGAAATAGAACAGCAGGAGTAGAACAATTGATGCTATTCAAATAGTGTACTCGCTTCCCGATTTTGATGCTGAAAACTTGTACCGTTTCTGGTGCCGGCTATTTATACTTCCAGGATTCAAAGTAGTAAATTAACTTGACAAGATCTAAAAATAATAGTAACTCTTAGCTTGAACAGGGACAGAATAAAATGTTGATTATTCAACATTTGTTAAGTGAATTAATTCTTGTCATAAATTTAACACCATTAGAGTAAAACTCTTTCGTTTTCTATTATTTACTAAAAAATTGGCTACGTGAAGTTTCAAAGAAAATTTTTAACAAAACATATCAGCGAGCATTTTTAACAAAAGGGAAACGAATGACTAATTTTCATTTGAATTGCCAATGCCAACAACTTCAAGGGATTTTGATTTTCAACCATCAAATTATCGGGAGTAACCACAATTTGAATAACATGTTTAAAATATATGGTTTTGGTCCCGTAATGTCAATCTCACTTTCAACGAAATGAAAATGAAGGAATTGAACAGAGTTTTAAGTGAAGAAAATGTTGTAAGCACAGATATAATTATTAAGCACTAATATAGAATGTTGTAAGCACTGATATATATTGTAAAATGTTGCAAGCACAGATATATATTATATTCGCTTATAAACTACTTATAAGCGAAGATGTGTAGAATGTAAAAAATAATTAAAAATTATTTATATTTTATTATATTATTTAATAAATGTCGAGAAAATATTTATTTTTATAATAAAATTTTTTTATAAAATTTTGAACTATGTATTTTAAATGACAAAATACAAAATTAGAATGAATTCGATAAAATAGTTTAGGGGTTATAAAGTTTTGAAAACATCGGAGTTTTAAATTTTCATTTAACTAATATAGTCAACTAATTTCGTCCACATTTTGTGTTTTGTCATTTAATATTATCTTTCTAAAAAAATTCACAGCTTAAAATATATTATATTTTTGACTATTACGTATTAAGCAATAAAAATTAAAAATTTACGCATCGTTAAACTGCTTTACGGTAAGCGTAAAAGTACTACTAATGGGTTTTTTTTCTCACAATTATTATCTTTGCTTGTTTTCAAGATATCCCTGTCCTCAGCACGCTTTAGCCTCCCCAAAATACTCTAAAAACACAAAAATAAATAGCCAAAATTTCTGCAAAATTTGGGTGAAGAGAACAGATAAGGAAGCCATTGGATTATCTAACCTTTCGAATGAGAACATTTAATAAGGAAAATAAATATCATTTTATATATATTCCAGTCTGATAGATACAAAAGTTACAGATCTGGGATACTCTTCAGATATACAGGTATACTCACAGGAAAGATCCAGGTATACTCCAGGTCTTTACTCAATATTATTGTAAAATATTATTGTCCAGGTACTCACTCAATATTATTGTAAAACTTACTTTAATATTTAAATAATTTTACGCTAAAATCCATTTTTAGCGTAAAACAAAATTTTACGTTAAAAATCAATTTTACGGATGCTTCAGTGAGGGTTCTAATACCTTTTTACCGTAATTTAATCCGTAATTTTGTTCAGCGTAGTATAGACAGATTTCTGGCTCTTGTGCTAATAAACCTAAGCCCGTAATAACAATTTCTTGCTATATCAATTTTTACTTTATTTCAGTTTTTGGAATTCTTAAATAGACTCCACGTTGAAATTTTTAAAAAAAACACGCATTAATGAAATGTTTTATGAATGTTTTATGAATGCTTTCATTCTAAACATATAAAATATTTCATTCTTTTGCCACGATGAGAACTATTTTATAATGTTAAAAATCAATTTTTTGAAGAATAAACGTTAATTAAAAATGCCCTTTTTAGATGGCTATTTGCGTAATCTATAATATTATATTCTAGAAATTATATATTATATTATATTATATTATATTATATTCCACTTTTTTATCTAGAAATTTTGAAAGCCATGAGATTAATTTTCATTTGCTATGAGGGGAATTACTTGTTTAAAAAACTCTATAAAACCTTTCCTATAAAAAACTGATCATAGGCATTAAAGTATAAAATTAAGTCTTTTTGGTCCAATTGTGCAGGTAAATGGTGGATCCGAAAATGCACTTTAGTGAAAATCTTTTTCTTTTGCTGTCGAAATTTGATAGAGGCTGAAATTATTATTTTTATTTTTTATTTTTTTTCCACCGTAGTTGAACAACACCCAGTTTTGGGTTTACGACTACTAATGTTCAAGTCCGTAGACTCGTAATTTTGAACCAATCCAGAAGACAAGGACACTCCTGGACCAGTACTCCCGGAAGTATGATTTATTATATGGGAACATGGAGAACTTTAAAGTTATGTGAATCGACAGATTTAACGTGCATCAGTTATCATTTACTACACGGGGAGACTTCGGCATGGACTCAGTGCCGTACCAACCAAGCTATCCCGGTCAAATTATTTATTTTATATTTATATTTTATATTTATATTTAATATAAATAAACACAAATTGATATTTTTTAATGTATCATTTTTTTCAACGATTCTTACTTTTTTCCGGAATCGTCTATTTTTAGAAATCCTTCTGGGATGGCATTCAAGAAATCCACCTTTCTCCTGTCATAGTCCATATCATGAAAGTGCAAGGATGGTTTTTTAGGAACCTGAATTTATAAATCAATAAACCATTACAGGATCAATCATGGAATAGTATATAAGAGGAAATTCAGGCAACATGACTTTATTTAATCACAAAATGATAATGTATTTATTTTTAAGTGTCTTAGAGTCTTCCCCATTGACAAAAACCTCTGTATTGAATGCGTGGTAACATATTTGTATGCCGAACTTGGAATAGTATGCTCGCTATTTTAAAAAAGAATGTCTAGTACTGTAATAAGTGCTAAAATAACTACATTACAAAAATAAAGCACTTGAAATTAATTAACCGAAGCTTTATGAATTAAAAATTAATTTGTTGAAAAAATGAAAATTCCTTAACATCGAATTTGAGAAAAAATAAAACGATTTTTTTAAAAAGCTTTCTGAAATAAATTGCCGTGACAATATTTTTAAAAAAAAAATGAACCCGGGTTAACAAAATGAAATTTAAAACAATAACTAAATATTCAGAAATTTTAAAGTGCAGCACGAAATAAAATAAGGTCAAACAATGTTCTAAGAAGTAAAATAGAACGTATAAAAATGAGAAATTTTTTTTTAAATATTGGATTCGTAAATAAGTTCATGATAGAAAGTAACATTCAGCAGCATCTGTAGTTTTTTACTATTAAGTTACTATTAAGTTGTTACCATTAGTTACTATTATAACTATTAAGTTACTAAAGTTTTTTGTGAAATTGAGTAAAAGTGATTGATTTCGTCGTGGTTTTGTAATACAGGTAGTTCTAGGAAAATCTATGTTTTAGTAGGAAAAAAAAGGCGAATATTTAAAATTTATACCAATGCCAGCCAAGAAATTTTTAACAAACTCAGTTCAAAGGTAATAAATTGTTTAATATAAAAAGAAGACTTACATAAAAATCAGACATATTTAAATTTGCTCCACAGTAGAGGGGGTGGTCGATGCAAAATTTCTCCGGATCTTTTACGTGTCGGCATTCAGACTCGTATTTGCTACAAAATACACTCCTTTTGACTCTAGAACATTAAGAATAAATTAGTGTGTGCATGCCATAAACAGGGTATTTCATGATTAATGATTACGATCATGTATACATAGTTTCAGAATCTTTATCAATAATAAAATGAAAAAAAAACTGTTCTTGTTGGGGATTGCAAATTGATATTTAAGCAAGAGGAAAAAGACGAAGCGAAAACCTAAAGCATTTTAAACGAGGAATGCGATATTTTAAACGTCAACACCTGTTTAATTGCTTAAGGAAATTTAAAACATGAGAATGGTGGTTATTAGAGCCGCTCTCAAGTTTCAAACAGAAGCCAAACTACTTTTAATGAAAACGGAGCAATTTAGAGGCTAAAGTTACCACGCATTGTTTATAGTTCGGCCTTACAACACATTCTGCAATAGGCTAATGCAGCGCCTCTAAACTGTACTTGTAAGCGAGATAAGATCGACGTTGTTTTTGTTTTTAAGTTACAAAAATTATAATACTAGTAATACATGCAGCGTAACATATCTTTCAACTGTAATTCGCATGCAAAATAAGACAAAACAGAGGGAAGTAGAGAGTTGCTAATTCTTCTCTGACGCATTAACTGTCGATTTCCACAGTACATAACTACTCTTTATATAAATAGAATTGACGTCTTAAGGTAACGCGATTCTCCCTTTCTCCACACTTTTACCCTCTCTGTTACCATGGTTACGAAAAATCTTGCTTTTTCTTCACGCCAGTACGTTTTAGTAAGAAAGGGGAACATACTGGCTTGGGGTGAAAGCAAGACTTGCGGATACCATGGTAACGGAGTTGGAAAAAATGGAGAAATCGTTTAACCTTGAAACTAAAGTATTTGCAAAGAACATATCAAAATTACCGAATGCATTTGAATCCTGCACATTTTTCTTTCTTTTTACTTTTAGTTTTTTCAAAAAATGGTCAATATTTTTTTCCTGTTATGTTTCCGAGAGAGAAAACTAAGACATAGTACTTACGGATTAGTATTGCAGATTGTCACAGCTGGTCTCAGGACGTAATCTGGTTCCTGTATTTCTATATCTACAATTGTCGGATAGGTGTAGAAATAGATAATAAACTCTGTAATCTGGTAAACGAATCCAACAACACAAAGTATGAAAACAATACATTTTATCATTTCCCAGAGAAATCTGCGCATTTTCTTTGAACTTTCCATTCCACGATTTGTTTGTTGCTTGTTTCCTGCAAATCATGAATAATTTTAAAAGCATAAGATAAAAAAGTTTTTTTTTTTACGTTATTCACGATAATTAGTTTTAGTTTTTTTAGAATATATTACAATGTAAGAAATTATTAAAGTTTTGTCAAAAAATAGCTTTTTCTTGTTTTTTATAAACTGTTTGTTTACCATACCCTCATTTTAACCGTCTGGTCGTTTGCGACACCTAAAGAATACTTTTCAGATGTTGTCAATGAATCCATTTCCTTTCTCGTTATTGAGTGAGATAGCTTCGTAAAAGTATTCCCGTAGTAGTCCTCTTTGTGTCAGAGGGGAAAAAGAGGTTAAGACCCCGCCACTGAGAACCGAAACAAAAATAGCTCATAACATTAGACGGCGTATTTTTTTCTTAAATTTTTTCAGAATTATTAAATTTTGGAAATTTGAAGAAAAACAAAACTGATTAAAAAAAAATATAGAATGAGTTTGGTTTCTACGAGCTGACATTATTCAACCAGTTCAGAAAGCATATAGTTTTCACTGTAAAAACTGTGAATTAAAAATCTTCGACTTTGAGGTTGAACAACACAGAAGATTGTGTTAAATATCACTTCATTTCAAGTTAACATTAAATCGAGAGTTCATATTCACTTCAAAGTGTGTAGTTAAATCTAAACACAAGTAAAAGAGAATGCTCATACCAAACTCACTCTCAATTAAACAGATTGAGAATTATTTTCGCTTTGGAAAATATCGTTTTATAGCATTGTCTCAATATCATTAATAGACCGATTACAATTAAGATCTGTATTTGCTGCTGTATATATATATATATATA